CCATGGAGGCATCCAGGTGGCTTTATGCCCCTGATGCATGGGATGTGCTGCAGCTCAGCTGATGGAGGTGGTTCATCCTGGTCTGCCTATCCATTTGCCTTGCTGACAGCTGGAATTTCCCTGGAGTCCCATTCAGATTCCCAGGATAAACAGGCCCTATGGTGGTGTCCGTGCATGGTGAGGAGGAAGCAGCCAGCCACTGTGAGCTGCTGCCCGACCCCAGCTCCAGGCACTGAGGTGGTGGCTGACGTAGCTTTGGGGATTTCACAGACTGGGCTTCAGCGTCACTGAGCATGGCCTGGCATGAGTGGGAGGAAGGGGCTATTGTTTTCCCAGATAATTCCCCATGACGCAGCCGTGCAGTAGGAAATGCTGATCAGCTTCCTGCCCCCGCGCAGGGATGATGTCCCCATCCCCACAGCCTGGTTCTGTGGCTGGCGGCTCCCTGCCAGGAGGGCTGATAGCAGGGGAGCCACTTGGCACCCAGCTGGAAGAGCCACTGTGCAGTGTCTGCAGCACACAGCAGCAACCCCCTGTGCTCTCAGAGAGGGCTTCTACCACTAACGGCTGGCACTCAGACAACTCACCTGGCAGGACACCTGCGTATTTGACCTGAAGCTGGGGTCCTACAAACCTTGTTTGTCCTTGGGACTGGGGAATAGCTTTTTCTCTGGGATGCAGGGGGAGGGGTTTGCACTAGTGCCGGAAGGACTTGGGAGCACACAGGGTTGTGCTCCAAAGCCACTTGGAGCTTGTTCATAGGAGGGGGCGGTAGTATCAGATAGGGAGGGGGCTGTTGGAGGAACAGGCTTCATTTTGAAGTGAAGCAACATGAGACCTCCCTAAGTTCAGAAGCAGAACCCTGGCAGAGAAGTTTGTGCAGTTGCTAATCCATTTTAGCTTGGGCTAACCACCCTGCCAGGCTCCCTGGAGGCATACCTCTGCAGTGGCTGGTAGCTGTGCAGATAAAGTGCTTTAACTATCGTGGTGTCGATTTATAGTGGTAAAATACTGTTCTTGAGTATACTGCCTGGAGGCTGGGAGCTTCTATACGCTGTATTCAGACCAAAACATCTGCTGCCATTGCCCCTGTTCCCTGCTGACTGCAACCCGCTGCAGACAGGGCTGGCGTCGGGGGGACTGGGGCAGCCTGTCCACAGGCTTAGCAACAATAGCAATGACTTAATGAGCCACACCTCTATAGTGCATTCTGTGCCTCATGGAAGGCAGCGCCATGGCTTGCAGGAAGGGTGAGGCAAGTGCTTCCGGATCTGACTGCAGATTCCAACTGAAGATGTCTCCAAAAAGATCTAATATTAATTAGTCACACTCCTCTCTACTGCTGACAAAGAAAGAGTAGGCCATGCTCTGCCTGGATAAGATCATGTCTTTGTGTCTGACTGCCAGCAGATCATTGCTTACTGATCTTGCAGTGCATGTGCAGCCAGAGATGCTGTTTAATGCTGCTTGCCCCCTTTCCTTTGTGTTGGTCCTGAGGACACCACAGCCTTAGAGATGCTGCAAACCCCAGGCATCTCAGCTGCATACAAATGCAGTATGCACTGGTTTTGTACTAACATGTTTCACTTGCTTTCTGGTGGTCAGGTTTTTGGGAATGTCACGTTTCTGGGTGTTTTGGTTTTTTTTTTTAAGACAAGTCCAAGACTCTCACATAAACATATGATTTCAGGAGCTGGGGCTTTAACAAAACTGCTGCAACACCACAGAGCCTGTATTGGTGGTTCTGGCAGATCCTTAGGTAAATACATTTGACAGTGAGAACACACTATCTTTTGATCTTGGGATCATGAAAGCACTTGTTCTTTGCAAATTCCTTTCACAGCTCACACAGAAAGAGCAGAACAGCATGACAGGAAGTGCTGGAGACTTTGGATTATCCAAAATGCTCTTTGTAATGTTACTGTTCTTGTAATACTTGTCCATAGGTTCTTGGATTATACACCTCTACACTGTTCTCTAGATGGAAGTTTTCTAGTCATCTAATATAATCTTCAGATAATACCTTAAGCACCAGTATCTCTATTTAACCTGTTATAAATTCCCTTATAATCAGTGGACTTGATCCACGTGAGAGTTACTACAGATGTCCTGATGCTTTTGAAAGCTTCCTTTGTGGTCTTGGATACTATTACACAGCAGAAAGCCTATCTGGTAGCCAAAAGTAAGCCAAAATCTCCTGTGTGGATTTTGTGTCTGAGCATGTGTTGGAGCTCTTGGAGTCAAAGCACTAATGTGATTTCAGCCTCACTCATCCATCTGGCTGTCTATTTTCTTAACACCTGTAGGAACCTAAACATCCTTGAGGCCTCTATTACTGTCAAACTGATTTGGGCTTGGCTGACAGATCCAGAGGTCCTTCTTGGGAGTGGGAACATGCCCATGTACATGTGGAGTGATTAATTGAGATGCCTTGTTTCCTTAGGAAACCAGAATTAAAAAATAAAAGCAACTCTAAATTACTTCTTTTTTTCTAATTCTTGATTAATACTTAAACATTTCTGCAATTCAGGTTGTGACATGATTTCAACTTTGAGCCTATTTGACCTAAGAGTGTAACTCCTTTAGCCTAAAACTTGTGCCTCTGTCTTTCATTAAACCAGCTATTTATGTGCACTTCTGAACCCATTTCCTACTTGTGGCCTCCAAATGGTGGGCTAGCATGTGCATTTAATGCTGATAAAAGATCACTGATACTTTTCCCCATGGTGTGACATACAGGCTGAAGTAATTTTTTTTGCTAAAATCCACAGTTTATGCCATGGGAAAGACTATTTTTATGAGCACTATTATGTGCTTTGAGTGAGATTGCAACAAAGGGAGATTAGCTAATTACTCCAGGGTCTTTCTTCCTTTGGTGTGTGGGAAAGCTGCATGGCTGAATTCCATAAGCATCAGCCAGAAAGTCATGGGAGAGCAGTTCTGCCACCCCACATCTTGAGTTAGCCCACTGATTTCAGATTGCTTGTAACTCATGAGGGTGTTTGGATCCACACTGCTCTTCTCTAAGGGCTCCTATGTGCTGTGCTTGGTGCCATAAACAGCGTTTGAGTGCCATGACATGAGATGACTCCCATCTGTCAGTCTGGGAATGTTAGCCAACTGCCTAAGGAAATCAGGGGACATAAAAGTGATTTAAAGAAAAAATCTGTAGGGGAATTTAGTCATACTTGTTTTTATTGAGTGTTTATCCTGTAACTATAGCTCTATCAAACAAATGTCATGAGATGTTCAAAGGGCGGTGAAGGCTCACTTCGTTGCTGTAAAAGTCAGCGCCTATACTGAGTGGGAGGGGGAACTGGTTGTGTTAATTAGTGCTGGGAACCATGGGCCCAGCATGTTAAGAAGGGCCCTGTTTCATCTTGTGCCATTGACCCTGTATTGAAGCCCTGCCCAGACTTTACAGATGGCTAAAATACTTCAAAATGCACATTTGGGTGCCATCTTTTAGCCCTGGATATTTCAGCTGCCATTGTAAATCCTTTCTTATGCCTGCTCTAGTGAGGCCTCATCGTACTTTCTTCTTGCTTTGGTCAAGTGTCTTCTCTGGAGAGAAATGTTATCTCTGCCCAGGCTGCTAATTCCCAGCCTCCTGAACTGGTAATGGGGCTTAGAAAGTTTCCTCTTCTTGTTAGCACTGCTTGTGATTCAGAAGAGTCTTACATCATCTCATGTCTTATTTAAGATTTGGCTTTTCCCCCTTTCATATTAAATTGTAATTAGTGTTTCTTAATATCCGCTAATACTGCTCAAAACCTCCTGTTTGCGGCAAACCCAGGATGTCTGGGTGGTATCTCATACTTCCGACACTGTAGAAGTCTCTGGCAGTTAGCTGTCACTGCCTGTGGACAGTCTTTTTTATTAACAACAGCCATCTTCCCACCCTTATTGTGGGAATTTCTTGTCCAGAAAGTCCAAAGTTGTTTATCAGAGACAGCTGTGAACCCCAGTCTTAGCTGAAGGAGCAGACACACTCCAGACCACATACAGTAATAACAAACCCCTTCTTTCTGGGTTGCCCTTGTGTAAGTAAAACCAAGCTTTCAGATGTCATTGAAGAGTCTGCCTCTTTCTGCTGCTCATCTTTTTTCCATAGAAAGCCTTGCTTTCAGGAATTGCAAGGAATGCTTGAGTCTTGCATGAGAAGGTACGTCCTGTGGTTTGCCACAGGCTTGCAGTAGGTCCCAGGTATGTGACACCTGGAACTAACAGCTCTGGCGATGTTTCTGGGCTCTGATGTTGCCAGCATATCACCTCTGAAATGTCTTGAAAGTCAGCCTGAAGCCATCCAGGATAGGGCTGAGGCCCTTGTGACTTGTGGACGATACTTGCCTGATTTGATGGTTGTGGTTCTGTACTCCTCAGCTGACACCACACATAAAGGCCACCACTGCAGTGGCTGCTTGCTTCAGGCTGCCCTGTCACATCCCACCTGCATGCTTGGGCACCTCTGATTTTTGCCTCTGCTCCTTTGCATGCAGGAAGTAAAACACATAGGAAGTGCACACAACCGGAGTGCAGTGCCCTTCACTGCTGCCACAGCTTCTGCCCCCAGGGTGATCACTGCTCAGTACAACAGCCCAGCAGGGCTCTACTCCTCAGAGAACATCCAGTCCTTCAACACTGCTGTGGAGTCAAAGACATCACCAGGGGCCCTAGAATCTACCAAGCCGTAAGTATCTTTCTTGCTTCCCATCCCTGCCCAAGCCCCCAGGGAAAGGCTCCAGGAGATGTGAGTTCACTGTGAGGACACCGGTTTGTTAACCCAGAAGAGCTTTTTTTCAGGTCAAGGGAAGGAGCAGACACATGAATATGAATGTGGTTCCCAGGGCAGGGCTTGGAGGAGCGGGGAACATTGCAACAGATCCAGAAATGAAATTAATGCTGTTGTGTTTCTTTGTTTAGCAGAGGCCGACGCAGTTTCCACGTGCATTCAGCATGACATGCCAGCCTGCTGGTCCGACCAGGTGCCTGACAGCTTGTTACGAGCACTTAGTTAGAGTTTTGTGTTGGCTTTGTGGGTAATGCTGGGCAGGAGGGGTACTAGCTAATGCAGGAAGCACACACGTCCCCCTTCTTGGCTGGTCTGGGATTCATAGTCAGACTCTGCCTAAGTTTGGATCTTTCTGTTTCTTACTACTGAACCTTGTTTTTCACAGGAGTTTTAAAAAGTAGTTGAAACATTGATAGCTGAAACATTGATACCTGTGTGAACAATTTCATATATGGGACTGGAAAGGTTCCCAACCTTAAAAGGGCCTGCTGACTTTTGTGGTTGTGTCTGAGTTCGCCAGAGACATTATTCCAAAAGTCCAACATTCCTCTTTTTTCATTGGAAGCAATAAAGCAGGAGCTGTCTGAAATCTTTCTGGCTGTGTTGGTCAAGTTGCTTAACTGCCCTAAGTCTATAGCCATACCAACTGCCAGGAAAACTTTGGCCACTTTTACAACAAAAGCTGCATGACCAATGCTTTACATGATACTCAGTTAAATTTCTGACTTGTGAATGTGGAGCCAAAAGGAATTTCAGCCTTTGCTTTTGTAGGGCACAAAGACCTGAGATTGTGTCTTAACACAAGCCTAAAAACTTGCCCCTGACCAAAACCGGCTTCTCACACTGGCAGCCCCATCTGTAGCAGGGTCCCTTCTAGGCAGTTCCAGTGCTGCAGCTGGCAGACAAGGTGCCAGATGTTTGTTCCTCATTTGCTTCTGGTAGAGCTCAGCAGCCTCACTCAGGGGCTGAGCAAAGGCAGAGAGAACAAGAGAAATCTGACTTTGCATTAAGCTGATGGGACCATTTGGCACAAGCAAAGGATGTGTAGGTTGTTCCTCTACACAGCCTTGCAGCTGTCTTTATATTCCTGCCCTTTTGTTTTCTGAGTTATTTGTACATGGCCCACCTTGCTGTGGGTTTACCTGGCATTTTATCTGCACCCCCATGCTGCACCCAGTAGACACACAGCCTATCTGAACCCAACAGCCTGATCCTGCCACTGCACATGGTGATGCGACATGGGGACCTGGTCCATGCTCCATACTGTATGATGTAAATGCAAGGCTGGTACAGACAGAAACACCAGCAAATCCACTGGATTTGCAACTGGTGTTTCAAAGCAGGTGGGGAGGGGAGGGGAGGGGGAAGCCTCACTGCTGAACACATCTGTTTTGGGGTTGGAGGTGAGATGGGCCCTCAGTAGGATGCCCAGGCTAGGTTTGGGAAGGGTAGCAGTGAAGGTGGCACTCCTTGGTTGGACAGTGGGACCATGAGTGCTAGTTTATATTAAAATCCATGCTGCCATGTCTTCATTACCTTTACAACCCCTTTGCTCATCAGTAGAGTGACTACATTTTAAGTTTTTGTGTGGACACACTGGGGGCGTGAGACCAGAGCCACAGCATTAGCCAGAAGCCTTTACGGGGCGTGAGACCAGAGCCACAGCATTAGCCAGAAGCCTTTAATGTAAAGTCATGTATTCAGTAATGTGCCCCTCAGACATTATTCTGCAACTGCTTGTACTGCTTAGAGTATTAGGTTTAGTCTATTAATATCTTCCTTCTTTCCTTTCTTCCTCCGTTGCACCCTTCCCTCAATTCTACAACGTAAAACCCAAATGAACCCCCAAACAAACACAACTCAATCTGCCCACATGAACTTGTGGGGCCTTAGCTGCCCTTTGCCAGTGAGCCCGATGCAGGCTCCCGTGGCCTCCATCTATAACCCTCTGCAGGTGCAGAGCTCCGAGCGGAGGCACAGCACCTCCTCCATGCCCAGCCAAGTCCGAGTGGGGCCTGAGCAGCTGAAGCGCACGGCTCAGATCTGCCCCAAGAGCCCTGTGGAAGTGGAGGTGCCTGGACTCAAAGTGCTACATGTGCAGTTCAATTCTCCCCTGCAGCTCTATTCGCAGAGCAACATCATGGATTCCCTGAAGGGGCAGATCTCTTCTGTTAGCCCTGATTTCCCCAGGTAACATGCCCACCGCCTCTGCAGTGGGCTTCAGTGCATCCCTTCATCTGTATCTTGGTGTCCACGAGTACCTCGTCCCTGTCTGTGGCTCACAGTGTTGCTGGTCACAAGGAAACAGCGTCTACATTTCACCTTTCTGACACTAGTGCATGACTCTTCACAGGGACTTCCTCTGCATCGTGTCTGTGTCCAACATTGCGGGAAGCACCAAACATGATTTCAGCCTGTCACTGTGTCCATTGCCCCCTGTGCACCCATGCGGCACGCCCTTGACCAGCAGCTGGTGGCTTTCCTGGAGGAGCCACCTGTAGCAGATGGCTTTGCTGGGGGCAGGAGAGTGCTTTATCCTGAAAGCTGGTGTTTCTCCTGCACTGATTGTTGTATGTCACTGGAAGGTGTTGCCACATGTGTCCTTGTGTTTTTGTTCCACAGGCTGCGGGCAAGGCCCTGTGTATGCGCTGGGCGTGTTTCATTTCAGGCTGAAGCAGGTCCATCTTATGTTGGTAACAGTCATGAGTTCGGAGCAGCCTGGGAAGGCAGTGGACTGGGAGGACCCAGTCTGTGTTCCCACCCCTGGCCACTTGGCTGCAAAGGTTGCTGCTCTTGCAGCTGCCTCTTTGCCCATAGGAGTGGAGGATGCTCAACATGGTCTGATTTCTGCAGCATGTGCAAGAGCCTCAGCATCACAAGGCCGGGGTGCTTTTAGGTGTTCTGCTTTGTGGCAGTTGGGAACCAGCTGGCCTATCTCTCTAAATGTCAGCCCACAGGGTTTTACAGGGAGGACTTCAGTACTGAGAAGGGTGAAGCAGAAAGTACATTTAGGCATCTCACAGGAGGGCTCCAATCAAGGCTGAATTGTTTCAGTTGTGAACCATCAGCAGACTTACCCCACTCTGTAACCAGGCAGCTTGGAGCTGTGTAACATGTGGTTCAGGGAGGTGATCAGTCCTATGGCTTCCAAGGGATAGAGTGAAAGGGCACAGACCTCATAGCTATTCTGCTGCTCACAGTGCCCTCCTGGGCTAAGCACCACATGCTTTGAAGAAGAAAAGTTGGTGTCCTCACCCATGGACCCACACAGCCAAGCTTTTGCTGTGTGCCAGCAGCCAAGAGGTAATGGGAGGCTGTGGTTTTACTCCTGCCTCGTTACTCAGGCCAGTTACTTGCTTTGGCTTCTAGTTGGTAAACCAGAAGCCAGAGCATTCCAGTAACAGTGTGCTGGCTGGCTGTGCCAGTCCAGACAGCTGATAACACTCACCAAAGGAGCCCCAGGCATCAGCAGTTGTTTCATTGCAAAAGTGAGTGCTCCCAAGTACTTTGGAGCCCAGCTCTGAGATCCTTGTAAACTTCACAAAATGTGCTAACAGAAAATCATAAAATGCCAGTAGTAAAGAATAAGCTGTGCTTTTCTGAAGACGCTGTGCTAGACTGTGGCTTTATGGGTTTTATTGCCATCTTCTTGCCAATTTTAAAAGCTCAGCAATGCAGTGTTATTCAATCAGTGTTGCAAATTGCCCATGGCAGAAGCTGTGAGATCCAGTAATGGTTTTGTGAGTCTGAAATCCAGTAAAGCATGTTGGAGTTGTCCCCTACAAAGTTTTGGAGTTGGGGAACTTTGGTGCATGGTAAATGAGACCAGTCGCTGGTGACTGCTGCAGATAAAGTACCTGCCATAAATCAGCAAACGTACAGAGACTTACTGTCCTGCAGGCACAACTCGTGTGCCTGCGCCCATTCAAAAGATGCATGTGCTTTTGTCGTTTTGTTTTTTTATATTTCATTTTCTTTAAGCAGCATAGCTTTCTGCCCTGACAAATTGAGCTATTTCACTCTGCTCATACAAATCCTAGGATTTGGGGGGTTTTATAGTCTTTTGGAAGTCTTGTAGAGGCAAATGTACCTATAGGGTGTGTACCAGGGAGAGGTGATCTGTATCTTTTGCACACTGCCACAACATGTGGTTGAAATGTTTGTTTGACTTCAGTGCTCTTGAAGGTGATGTAGCCTTTGCTTTTTGAATGCATGTTAATGAAACATTCTTAGTATGCGAACTGCAGTGAAAGGTTTTTTGCCTAATGTTTTCACGGGCCTATAGAGTGGGGGGAGTATATGGGTTTACATAAGATGAACATAATGTGGAGCATGGATTCATTTTGGATGAAGGATCTAGGACATTTTCTGTGTAATAGAAAGCACATCATTATTTTATTTTGGGTGAGAGGCTTCAGTAAATGACATTCAGGCATCAAGGGTTCAACTGCTTGCAAGCCTAATGTGCTTCCTGCTCCACTGAAAATTACTAAAGATGGAAACATTTTATGAAATTCTTTTTATGGAAATAGTGTTTTATAACACGTGCAATGATTTTAGCTCTGATGCCTGAAGATTTATTATGTAGAGTAACTCTCAGATGAGTCTGCTGCACATTGGCATGGAAAGTATGCAGTTGCCTCCTCAAAAAAAAATTCCCTCTGCAGTTTAGTCTTAACTTTAGAATCTTTATGTACTTTTCAGGCAATCACAGGGTGCAGGAACAGCGAAACCTAATAGACCATTTACATTTATAAGGCTGCTTATGTAGTTGAGCTGTCAGAGACTTGTCAGTTGTCTCATTTTTCTAGAGATGTTTTTACTCCAGTCATAGAATACAAAGTAGGCAGGAACCTCCCATGTCCATCCCCTAGCCCAGCAGTTATTTGATTTAAACCATCAATTTAAATAATTCCCATGGGATATCTGTCCAGACTCTTTTTAAATCCTTTAGGATGGAGGTTGCTCACTTCTCCGTAGCAATCTCCAGCATTTTGGAGTCTGTCCATTGGAAGGCAGCAAGGAATATTCTGAACATCCTCCTGCAGTTTTAAGCCTGTAGCTTATCCTGCACCCACTGGATGTGGAGAACATCCTAGGTAGTGCCTCCAAGCCTCTCTTTTTCCCCCCCTAATGACCCTTCCACTGGCATAATAACCACCCTTTCAACCACCCTGCATTGTGAAAAGCTGACACTGAAGCACTTAAGGCTCTAGACTGAGGGTGCAGGTCCCTCATGAAATGAGTGGCAGCTGAAAGGAGGGCTTAGTGTTAGCACACAGAAATCTCTGCCCTTCACTTGCTTGTTAACCTTGATTAAATGCTGTAAATGGCTTGTGGTTCAGAGTCTTCTCCTATAAAATGGAAATAACACTCACTTGAAAACCAAATTAAATTGTTGCCAATTAGGGGTTCTTATTGTTAGATTGTACAGCTGTTACTTTGTGAGGATAGCCTTTAGGACCCATTCATAGTGTACATTCAAAGATATAAAAAAAATCATCTTTTTAATGAAATAAACTTTACTTAATTTGAGATTCACAGTGGTGCAAGGTATTAGTCTAAGGTATTAGTTCATGCATGCAAGGAACATGCACAGATGGCACAGCTACCATGCAGGATCCCATCACAGCACAAATTCTTTATTTTCCTGTTAACAGAGTGGTGAGTTCCTGAGAGAGTTTTAGTTTCTGGAGTAAATAGTTAATTGTGAAGCACAGAGAACACCTGGGGACTGGCTGGGGACAGTAAATGTGAACCCATTCACAGTGGTGTATGTGGATAGGGCAGGGTGCCAGTCCCACCTGGGCTGCGGGTCTTGTGTGAGCACATCCAGCACCTCTGTGTTTTATGGCATCCTGTTGCACACTTGTTTTGCACGTTTGTTCTTCAGTCATATGATGCATTGTGAAAATTTTGCTAGAAGCACTGGCTTTAGTTTTCAGCTTTTTAACAAGCTTATTCCCTGTTCCTTTCTCAGTTTAGATCAGCATAACCAGCCCCCAGGCGGTATTGTCATAGACAGAGAATCTGAGGTTTACAAGATGCTCCAGGAGAATCAAGAGTCAAATGAGCCACCCAGACAGTCTGCTTCGTTCCTTGTGCTGCAAGAAATCTTGGAGTCAGAAGAAAAAGGTGAGCACTTACTGCACACCTAATCTGAGTGTGCTTTTCTCTTTGCCATTCCTTGGGCAGCATATGGTGTTTGAGAGTAATATCTAAAACTTTGTTTTCCTTTTTTAGCTGTTGATTGTTCAAGGTAGCACACGTCAACGGTTTCCTAACTAATGGTTTCCAATCTACAGACCCTCTCATAAACTTAACTCTTAAATGTTCTCTTGTTGATTAGTGTCAGTGTCTACAGGCCTATATCACTGCTCACTCTTGGAGTAAGTGCTCAAGAAATAACCCCCTACAACATTTAGTTATCAAGAAGGAATTTACAAAGTTGCAAAAATTTGTCCATGTAACATGTAAAGTTTTGCCCCTTTAAGATAATATTCACTGATTAAAGACCATCTTGGATTCAAGATTTTGAAAGGTACCTCAAGATAGTGATCTTTAGTGAATCTTAATGCTTCTGATAGCTATTCTTTTATATAAGAAAAAGTTATCTGCTTCTACAGTTGAATGTAAAAATATGGAAGTTGAGTTACAGCAAGCAGTTCATATAGCTTTTAAACTCCGAAATTTCAGTCTGCTTGGCATTCTTGATCTGACATCTGGACTTCTGCAGTTAAGGGCTATAGAGCTTAAGACAAAAAAAGCCAGTTGACTTAGATGGGGGCCAAATTGTACTCACTTTTCCCCTTAAATAAACTAAAATAAACAAGTAAATAGGAAAAGAATTCCAAGAATGACTTTTTTTTTTTTTTTCCTTAGATCAGTTGAGACTTTGTCTTTTGTTACTAGCTTGGCAGTGGTATGTTCAGTTTCATCCAACAAAAGCCTGGTGCTGAGATACTCACCACAAAGGGAAACAGATTAGCCTCAGACCTGGTAGGTCTGAGGGATCTGTACGGAAACAGAAAAATGAAGGAAATAAGAAAACAATAGGAAGAAATAAACCAGGATCTTGGAGTCTTTAATATGCTGTTAAAATACCTACCTGAAAGCATCTTTTAAACACTGGGTTTGCAACCTGCCCTCAGGTTTCAGCTCCTGTGTGGAAGGACTTGAGTAGCTGCGACTTCTTACGCAGCCAAGGTTCTCCTCCATGCTTAGTAGTGCTGAAGAAGATATGAAGCCAAGGCCTCTCTGCTTTATCTTTCTTCGAAGATTTGCAGAATTACTGGGATTCTCTGGCACAAGGTTTGCCTGCCAGATCACAGGCCAGGGTGGGCTTTGGCATCACTACACTGTGAACTGATAATCACCCATGCGGAGGAGGGCCGGAAGGTTACACAGCCCCAAAGGAATGTCAGTCCTTGAGGAGATGGTCCTCCTGCCTGCCAGGCTCAAACACCCCTGCTGCTGAGTCAGCTCATGTCTGCTGTGATAAATAGCACATTGGCGATAAGTGGCACATTGGTTGGGTGCTTCTCCCAGCCTGTCTTCAAGTGATGGCTTGTGAGTAGCAGCAGGGAGCTGTCTCCCCAGCTGGGACGAGTTCCTCCGGGCATTGCTCTGTCGGCTGTGCTGATTTACACCAGCTGAGAACCTAGCTCCCAACACACAGGGGATACGTGTGGGCACTGGTGTGTGGAGGTACCATGGCTGGTCTGTGTTCCCATGTTTAGACCTGACCCTGTACTAATAGGGGGAGGGTGTTTCACAGGGTAGAACACGTTATGTTTCCTGTGGGCATTTGATTAAGTTGATCCCTTCAGAAAGATTTAAAATCATGCTGTAAATGCTGATATGAGCAAAGTTTGAGGCACAGGGAGGGAGCAGAGGTGATAGGGAAGAGCCTGTAAATGTGGTTGCTGCTGTATCCTTCCCAGGAAGGGTCACTTGCAGTAACTGTTGGAGACCAGGTGCTTCATTCTGTGTTCGGAGGGTACATAAGCTGTAGGGAACATGCACCTCTCGACCAGCATCTCTTCACTGAACTGAGTGCAAACCTCTGAGCTGAAGGCTGCCACAGAGGCAAAGCATATCAGCGTCACCTGCCCCATGGGTGAGCAGTGGTGACAGGGCAGTTCCTTCCTTTATCCTTCAGCTCCCCTGTCAGTGATGCTGCCCTGGGCTGTGACATGTCCTTAACTTTGCTGGTCAACAGCATATGCCTCTGGAGGATATTTCCTTCCCTTACACCAGGAACATCCCCTACAGTGTGCTTTTGGTTTGATGCTAGTCAGAAGGGTTTTATCAGTGTCCTTCCTAGCCTGAGGTGCCTGTTGATCCCTTCTGTTTTGGGTGAAACACCATGTTGAACTGCTTGAAAAAGTGATATAGATAAGACTAGTCACATCAATGGTGTCATTTTGTAAGAGGCTCCTTTTTCACTGCAGATATTTAAAGGCTTGCTTTGTATCCTGCATCTAGGATCCACTGCCGTTGTAGGAATTCAGGTCAGCAGATGTCTCCTGCAAAGGACCTGCAGGACATCCCTGCTCCAGAGGAGCTGCACTAGGGAGACACCTGGAGCATGCTATGCAGCAGCAGGAGGGCACGAGGTTATCCCCAGTGTCCCAGGGCCCTGCAAGAACAAGGAGTTTGTTAACAAGATCTTCCAGGAGTCTTGGGAGAGTCAGCCCTACCATATGCCAGAGAGCAGACTGGAAAAGGACTTCTGACAGCCCTCCCCAGTCTGCTAGGATGATCACCTCCTCTTGCTGAGCCCAAATCTGGCAATTAGCTTGACCCTGTGTGTGTGACTGGGACATGGCAGGCAGTCTCTGGTGCTGCCAAGGCTGGCGCAGGGGTAGAGGCTTTGCTTTGCTTTGTGCATCTGTGCATGTGAGACACATCGGCTGAGGTCTGATGGGCTGTTACGAGGAAGAGAAACTCTAATCTGACTGCCCACAATCTCAGGCCCTCAAATTTCCAGGGCCAGGTTCAGCTGTGCCCTTTCTCTCCCTCCTTCCCACACATCCCTAAATCCCTGCCTGCTTTCTATGCATGAATCCCAGCCTCAGAGCTGGCATCAAAGAACACCACACCTCCCTAGAAAAACATCTGCTTGGGAGGGATAGCCCAGAACCACGCATCTCACATGCTCTGAAGCACTCTCCTTCCACCCCCCAGGAGACCCCACCAAACCATCTGGATTTAGGAGCGTCAAAGCCCCCACCACAAAGGTGGCCTCATCGATTGGGAATGCCCAGAAGCTGCCCATGTGTGAGAAGTGTGGATCTGGCATTGTGTAAGTAAGCCTGTCCCTGGGGTTTCAGGCCAAGCATACCATGCCTGTGCGAGGGGCTGAGGTGCTGCACCCAAAACACGTCACCTGCTCACATCCAGAGCATCCAGGAGCTGGCTCAAGGCACAGTTATTCTCACCAGCTTTGATAGCACCAACTTTGCAGTTCTCTGTAGTGAGACAGGAGTTGGGTTTCCCTCTATAGATTAATATCAGTGGAAACCAAAACAGGCCCTATGAGAAAACTTTGATACAGTTGTTGCTGCAGTGTTTTGCTTCCTACTTTTCAGGTAGGAAACACCCAGAAACAAAATGTGCTATTCAGCCAGGGCCTGTGTATTCAATGCTTTTAATGTCTTGGCACCCCCTGCCATGGTCAGAGGTGCATTGGTGGTCAGAGGCAGTGTGGACCAAGTGAGCTGTGTTCTCCCTGGTTAGCTGTAGCACACCTCTGCTTACACAGACATAATTTTAGTTGTCTCTATGTGGGTATGTCTGACTGCCAGCACACCAGGGGCATGGGTTTGATACAGAGCTGCTGCACCGTAAGTGTAACAGGAGGAACCCAACGCATGCATTCAGTTTGATGTTCAGTTTCTCAACCACAGATTCTTTCCCACAACCGCCTTAGCTTAACAGCTGACTCCAGCAGTTAAGTATTGGTAGTCCACCTGCATTGTCATGGAAGAATTCAGCTTTCTTCCATGCTGCCCACCACAAGCTATCAGATAGTTGCTGAGACTCTCTACACTGATTGCCTGGAGCACCAGGGACTGGCAGTCATTAGAGGCAATCCATACCCTGTAAAATATGAATCAGAGACAAACCCTGTAATTATTCTAACAGCTGGGTAGATCAGGAGAGAAAGCACAAAGCTATAAACAGCAATAAAAACTTAATGAATTACGGAAAATACAGGTGGCTGCTGGAACAAAATTATACTCCTGGCAAATTGTTGTGTTTTCCTCATCATCTGCTGAGTTAAGCTGTGAAATTTTCCAGAGCTGGCCCATATTTGGCTGGATCCATTCACTGTGGCGCCTGAGCATCAGTGTCTGAGATCAGAACAAGGATCTGGTCTGTGCTTCTCCCACACAAACCTGGCACATCGGTCACTAGCAAAAGGGCAGCAACAGCAGCCCTAGGTTGGTGGCAGGCAGTCATTTCTGTATTTCTTTTGCAGTCCACTTGGTTTGGACCTGGATTTTGCTCCCTGAGATGGTCGACTTGATGCCTGCCATTTGATTTTGGGCATTTGGAAGCTGTTGTGCTGTCTCCAGCTATCAGCTAAAAGATGCCATCACAGTGATTCTTGTCGCTACACGATAGGGTCCCTGTGAAACTTAGGCAGGGCAGTGATAGGAAACACCTTCCAGAGGAGCAGTCCCATGCCAGCATGTGTTGGGCTCTAAAAGTGTTGCTAACATCTGCCTGGCAGGAGGTAGGGACTCTTCTATGACTTCTCAGGAGAAGTCAATCCTTTGACTTCTGAGGAGCAGGAGAAAATTTTCTGCCCTCAGCACTGGTGTGGGTCTGGGCTGGGTGGGAGGTAGCTGGGGAAGAAGGAGGCAGTGGGGAGTACCTAGTGCTGAGGGGTACTGGTTCCTTCCCCAGAGGGGTGTTTGTGAAGATCCGGGACAAGCAGCGACACCCCGAGTGCTATGTGTGCAGTGACTGCGGCACCAACCTCAAGCAGAAAGGACACTTCTTCGTGGAAGACCAAATCTATTGCGAGAAGCACGCACGGGAGCGGGTGATTCCCCCAGAGGGCTACGAGGTGGTCACCGTCTTCCCAAAGTAAACTGCACTGCTCACAAAGCCAGTGTGGGTCCCCAGCTGCTTTTCCTTGAAAAGCATCATCCCTGCCTGCCTGCCGAATCTTGTTTGCAATAAGGAATGCTAGGCATGGCTTTGAATTTCCTTGCCATTATTAATCCTCCATTTGTTCACATGAGATGTCACTAATTGTTCAACATTCTTTTTGTTTCCTCTTGGCTTTTTCCTAATACACAGAATTATACTTTTTTTCCCTCCTTTACACTGTCACTCACACAGGAAAATCAGAGGCCAAAGTCACATTACCACTCTCCTGTGTCCCAGTTATTTGCCTTCGGTTTGCATTCAATAAACGGGGTGAATCTACAAGGCAGATGGCTCTGCTTTCTCCTGGTATTCCTGTGCACTGGACTGGGTTTCCCTGGGCAGCAGAAGGGTACTCGGTGCATGGCTGTGTTTATAGAGAGTAGCAGGGGGGGATTACAAGGATTACACATGCTGCCCAGCTGCTGTTAGCAGCTGCCTGCTGGCACCCAGCAAAGGCCCAGTGGGCACAACCAAGCCACAGACCATAGCTGGCACCGGTGGCCTGTCCCTGGTGCAAGGCAACTGGAACCTGCCTCCTTCCACATCCAGCACTGCTTCATGATGATCTTAGGGTCCTTTCCAACCCTAACTATTCTATGATTCTATGATGATGGGTCCTGTGATTCCCATACTGCATCACTTATCTGCCACTCTATTCCCCGTGGTCACAAACTGAGCTCTCTGAAAAAACATCCACTTGAGGCTTGCTGGAAGCCAGGGAAGTCCTGCCTCAAAGAGAGGAAGGTTTGAGTGGCCGTGGTCTCTCTCCCCTGTTCCAGCTGACCCTGACCATCCTGTGCTGGCTCCCCAGCCCCATACCACAGGCTCAGGGCTGGGTGCAGGCTGGAGACCCACATCTCTTGTCCAAAGCAGGGCAGACCTGTGGCCAGGGTTGTTTCTGTCTGCAGACATTTGGGACAGTCCCCTGTGCAAGGGCCCATGTGGCTGCCAGAGGTATTGCTGTGCTGCCAGGCATGCAGCTGCTAGAGGTGCCACAGGACTGACGGGGGCAGGGGGCACATGCCCCATGTGCACTGGATGAAGGGCTGATGGTGCCTGAGCAGCAGTGCTGCTCCACCCATGTATATAGCAAAAAGCTGTGCAGTGAAGTTATTTCTGGGCTCACACCTCTGAACAAGACACTGGCTGTTCTGGTGTAAAAACAAATGGTTTCTAGGATGTAGTGTCATCTTTGCTTTAAAACAGACTGCCAGAGGTTGAAAACAGAAGGGATTGTAGCTGCATACAGAACCACTTTTGCAGGCACAGGGGTTAATGGGTGCATCTGCAGCAGCTTGGAAAGTTCTAGCTGTCTTCAGCAACCCGTTATTGCTGCACTCTGTGTTTCCTCTCCTTCACAATGAATCACACCACAGCACAGCTACTTGCAAAAAATCTCACCCAAAACCCAATCAAAAACACTAAACCCAAACCACAAACCCCAAAACTATCAGCAAAAACCTGACCCATTACCAAGATTATAAGCCTCCTATGGTCCAGCTCAACTCTACAGCTTTTTGACAGGTTGGGAGGGAACTAATTTCACCAATCCAGCTCAATTTAGCTCATCCCCCCCAACTCCTTCTATAAGCAGTGGCAAGCAAGCAAGGATGGCATAGCTCAAACAGCAGACTCCTTGTCCTGCTCATCCGTGGGAAAAGCCTGGCTTCTCCATGCCACCAGCACATGCCTGCACACACCTGCACACACTCCAGCCACTACACAAGCAGCTTTAATTTTCAAGGTGAGTGGGTTTTTTCTGGCCTGCTGGGGTGACATCTCCCCTCACTGCTGCCTATGGGGGCTAATTCTCTTCCATTTGCAGCACATTTCCCCAGGGAAAGGCCCTCCATGCTGCAGTGCTGGCAGGTGCAGGCAGGCTGGCCTGGACAAAAAGCCAGTGCTGCAATGGAGAGCACAGACCCGCAGGGCGGAAGGAGTGAGTAAACCTGTAGGAACAAATTGTTCTGGCTGCATCTCAGATGGGTGCTCCTGCCCTGCCATGGCGTGGGAGCGTGGCTGCTCTCAGCACCGCATGCTCCTTGCTGCCCACTTTCTCAGCAGGCTGCGGTCTCCTGGCTGCCCACCACACACGGCAGGAGGAAAATGCTGGCTGCTGGGGCCATCTGGAGTGCTGCATCCCAACACCAGCGGGTGGGCTGAGCCCGCCAGCGCCTGCAGTCACCGACTGTTTTCCTACTGTACAAACGTCTGTCAACAAAACGGGGCTTGTTCCAGATAAACTCACGAGCTTGCTCTTCCTTCAGGGGGTCAGGGGTGAAGAGCCTGAACCGTGCCTGGCATTTCCCCTGCCCTCCCCACTCCAGCAAACAGCCAGGCCTGGCTTTGTCCAACGCCATGTGCGTTTATCACCCGGCTGAGCTCCTGGGGCGAAGGCTGGCAGCACTGCTGGGAAAACACCGATTGTGCAGGGCATGGTGCAAGAGCCGGGAACTACAAAAGGCTTGTGGGGTAGCTCTGGAGATGGAGGGTTCTCTGCAGATACCAGAGCTGATCCAATTTATCGCTATGGGAACAGGCTAGCCAGGCAATTCACATTCATTACTTAGGGAGGACATTGATAGCTTTCCGCTGTAGCTTGCTGAGAAAAGGAATGTATTCATTTTTCATGATGCAGGACAAAATACTTGGCAACTGCAGTGTTCACTGTAGTCTCACTTTCCAAATTCCTCTGGAGTTTAACAGAGGAATTGTTGTTTGTCAACAATAGGTTTAAATAGGGTCACATCTGCAACCACACTGAGGTGTCTGCTCCAGAATTTAACAATAATGTAAGAAATGCTTTATGCATTCTTCCTAGCTGAAGTGTATCGGGCAGTCTGTAAGTGAGCTAGCAGCCTGCCAAGGAGGGATTGTCTCACATAGGTGTACAGCACTGCAGAAAGAACAATCTGTGACTTTTAACATGGACCAGACCACTTGTGTTTCCAGTTCTGGTCTCTTACTGCCACATCTCCCGTTCTTCTGCAGCAGACAGGGTCCTGTATTGCTCCTCCCTGTTGGCTGGCAGGAGCGCCCCCCTCCCCCCCCAGAGCGCAGGGTGCCAAGCTCAGCTGCAGCATGGAAACCTGTGAGCACAGCAGGAGCCGTGGGCCATGGCAGGCTGGAGAAGAGGGCTCACATGGGCCAGAGTAGCACATCTCCTCCCTGAACCAAGAATGCAGATCACTATTTTGCAAGTGTTTACACAGTCAAAAAGACCCTGCTGCTGGAAGTGACTTGACAGAGCTAGCCCCAAGGAAATAAGACAGGAAAGGGTTAAAAGCTGCTGAACTAACAGCATCAAGACAGAGGTCTCATATAGGTCTCCTCCTCACACCCTACACCACGACCACCACTGCCCCCAGCAAAACCAGCTCTGGGCAGTAAAGGAAGTTGCTCCAGCTTGGACATTGAAGTTTCATTTGTTAATGGCAACGCATGGGTCTTGGCAGCTCAAAAATCATCATCTTTTGCTAGGCAGAAAGTAAAAATATTCAAATGATGGTAAGCGCAAAGAGCATTTGAGCACTGGTGAAATGCCACTAAATAGATTCTAATATGTGAGATAAGTTTACCGCACATTTTCTTGTCACCACTTGGAAAAAGCACTAGCAGCCTCTCCCTGACCCTCCCTGGCCAAGAATATGAACTGCTCACCAGTTATAACAAAAAACCTAAACAAAAAAAACCAAAATCACACCAAAACCCCCAGCAAACAAACAAACAAACAAACAAAACCCCAGAAAGGAGAAAAACAACTTGCAAGCAGACACACAGCATTAACACACAAGTGAGCTGAGACCCATCTTTTTGTCCATGAATTTGGTCTCAACTCAAACATCTGCAAACATCCCCAGCAAGAGAACAATAGCTGAGTGTATCTGGATGCAGCATGGGACAGAAGAACTGCTTCCATTACCAGGACAATCTATGCTTCAAGAATGTGTCTTGCAGCTCTGGAAATATTTTTGCCCTCAGACAACCAAGGGGACATTATTTCACCCAGAACAATTAAAAACTGCTAGCTCCAGTCACGTCCCTACAGAGCCCCCGACATCCCACATTATCATTACCGCATTTACTTGTGTATCTCCCCCAGCCTAGAAAGGCTGCTTTCCAAAATACCAACACCCCTCACAGCATGCCACAAGATTTGCCTGTCAGCAGTAGGCACACAAGTGCAGGACTGCCCCTTCAAAGCTTAGTTGGATGGCAAGTTTGAATATTAGTCTTGACTATTGGCATAAGAAATATAAAGTCGTACAAAGAAAGCACAGTGCTTGCTTCAGGAGCTAAAAACAACAGGGGATGGAGAGATAGGCTCCTCTATGGCAGTAAGCAAAAAACATGAAAAAATATGCATTGCTTTTGCTTTTTGGAGGTGGGCTACAAAAGCAGTCACAGCTCTGCAAAGTCTCTACAAAACATCAAGCTCCACACATCACTGAATGGCAACTACATTTCGCTAATGGTACCATTAGCATTAATGCCAGTTTATGCAAATTCAGGAAGGCTGCAAGTATTAAATCCTAGCTATAGGATAGAAACTTCATTTTTATTTTCTACCATACTGCCTGGTGATGACAATCAGGTAGCTGTGCAGGTTAAACAGGGTAAATCAGTCTTCAAAAGTTAAGTATGCCTGTGTGGAAGCAGTTATGTTAGTTCCTATTAAAACTTTTACAATTATTTCTTTTAGATACTATTGTAGCTCTATCTACTCTTAAACCTTGAAGGTCTCTGCCAGCATAGAATGAGGCATAAAGGAGACTAGCAAAGTAGCTCAGCCAGTACAAGTAACACATGGAGACAACACATGTTGGACTTCCCATTACCTGGGCTAATAAGTAACTGAGCATAAAACCTGGAAACTTGTCTTCAGATATTAGAAACAGGACTGGGCTTTCAACAGGCAAAGGTCAAAGCTAGCCTACTCATTACTTGAAAAGATTTGTTACCTTATAGAGGCAAGGATAAACATCTCTCACTAACAGAAAATAACTGGTGCTCTATCATGCAATCAGATTACTCTCTATGGAGAGTAATTATGATCATAAAGTGACTGGAATGTGGTTTCCAAAGTCTGATGGGATTAGGTAGGATTTTATTTTACTGCATTTTACCTGTGCCTTAGCATCACTAGTGCACTGTGATGGCTCCAGCTGCAATTCCATGACTGCAGCTTCTAATTATACCTAGATGACATTTTCACAAATCAGAACTCAAAGATTAAAGGCTACTTGATGCCTTGAATATTGTGTTCAGTTTTGAGCCCCTCACCACGTGAAAGACATTGAGGTGTTGGCGCACATTCAAAGAGCAATGAAGCTAGTGAAAGGTGCAGAACGCAAGTCTTACAAGGAGCAACTGAGGGAACTGGGGTTGTTTAGCCTGGAGAAAAAAGGTTCAGGGGAGACTTTATTGCTCCCAACTACATGAAAGGAGGATGGAGGGAGGTGGGTGTCAGTCTCACGTCCCAAGTAATATGAGACAGGACAAGAGAAAATGGCCTCAAGTTAAACCAGAGGTTTAGGTTGGATACTGGGAAAAACATCTTCACTGGAAGTCTCATTGCTTGAGGCAACATAAACATAGTATCCTTCACCTATCCTTTCTGCTCCACTGTAGTCTCAAAGCCTTCCTAGAAAGTACTCCCTGGTCATCCACAGAGCCCCAGAGATACTCTGCACTTTCCCCTCCACATGGTTCGAAAAGGAACCTTAGCTGTGCAAGCTGACAAGTCAATACTGAAGTAATGCCTGCACCAGCAAAATTCAAGCTGCCTTTTTTTGTTTGGTTGTTGGGTTTGTTTGTTTGGGGGTTGTTCTTTGTTTGGGTTTTTTTTTGCATTTTTTTTTTTCTCCCTCTTTTAATGTGTGCTACATTTAGACCTTAGCCAGAGTAGGCAGAGAATGAAATTAATGGACACAACATAAGTTTCACTTATTTAAGAAGCTATGCTAAAACCCCTACACCTTTAAGACAAACCAGAGATTTATTTAATCAAAATAATTTGGAGAATTTAAAACACAAGCTACAGAAATGGCTGTAACGATGGGACACGTTCTCTCCCTTCCAAATAAAACCGTAATTCACACCATATAAGGAGGGGAAAAAAAAAAAGTGTTTTAGGACTTCCACAGGAAGATTTTTTTGTACACAAATTTGCCAGTATTTACCACTGCTCACAGGAGCTAGCTGTAAAGGTGAAACATGTCCATTTTCTTAACCTTTTGAGAGCCTAACAAAGCTATAACATGAAACTATCACCTGCATTATAATGTAGAACATGTTGTATTTCACTGAAAGAACACAAGGGATTTGAAAAATGCCTTAAAGAAAGTCAGCATAAACGAACAGTATGCGTAAGTAACATCTCTGGAAGATCTGATGTCAGTCATACATTTGTGCTGTAAGGCTACCAGCCACATTTGCACATTAAAACACACATTCTGCACTGGAATCTGATGATTCTTCTAAGACCTTGAAGACACCCATTTTTTCCTTTTTCATTTTTTCAGAGGTCTTCATTTGATCTAGGATTAAAACAAAACAAAGATCACCAATGACAGATGGAGTATATGCAACCTAACTACTGCAACATAAGAGTTGCATGTATTTTTGTTTGGATCTGGAAAGCAAGCTGATAAAATCATTTTGCTCCTTCATCTACAGTTTGCCACTAGAAAAACTAGTTTGCCACTTTGGAAAAACTAGTCTCATTTTCCTGAGAATAAACAGAATGCAGTAAACCTATTTATTTAGTGAAGTTACCAGGAAGATAAAATTATGGCCATGCTAAGCAATATTATTTTCTAAAGTTCAAAGACCTACCTCTTGTTTTCCTAGCACTTGCAATCACTGTAAATATATAGCAACATATAGCACTACAAATATATAGCATATAATCACTGCAAATATAAAGATGATGAAGTACTGTCTTTATATCAAATTTAATAATTATGGCATATGGGGTGGCATTTCAGTTCCAAAAGCATTAACTATAGTTAGCTGTAGTAAATATTCAGTACGTAATGACAGATCAGTGTCTTTGTATAAACTTTTTTTTTTTTGAAAATTGATATACTAAATTTGCTTAGTACCACACCATGGAATAATTTTCTCTATTAGCAGTCAGTTAACTGAAATAAGCAATTTTATAGAACAACTTCTTTACGTAATGTATGAAGAAAAAACTATAGGAATAGTTCTCCTAAGGCAAAGTTATTTTACTCAGAATATATGTATCACACTTACTTAAGGCTAGCTAGCATTTTGTACTTCTAAATCCAGTAATTACTGATTTTTTTCATGTATATATGCTTTGAGGCTTACCTCTGCTGAAGATGCTGAAGGAAGCAAAGCACTCATTCTAAATCTACTTTAGATGAACTGGACAAGATTTTTTTCCTTTATCAAAAGAGTTAAGGATTGTTTTGTTTTTTCTTTTTTTTATAGCAGCTTGTCCTACCTAATCAAGCACTAGAATGTGCAGACAACCTATTTTTTTTACATATTTGATCCACTGACAAGTCACAGTAACTCTAAAAAGCCCAACTTCCCCCAATGTTATATTTTGAATTATGATAGTATCAACATAGGTTTTTATACAAGTTTGTTGAAATAAATCTTTTCTGAGAGTAATTTCTATTTTGATCCAATTACAGCATCTTACAGTGAAAACTGCTTTGCAGAACACTTCCAGATCTTACTCTTTATTCACAGGATGCTCAAGGCAGATAGGAATATAGTTTGGAATACTTTTGTCTAAGTAAGTTGCTTCTTTTTCATCAGATCCTGTTGGAAATGTCAGCAAAGGAACGAAAGAGTCCTTCTTAAGATGTGCAACACAGCTGTAGGGAAGTGAAGCTATGGCAGGTTTCTCTATATAAAGACTTTTAGAAAATACAAACTTACTGTTGAACAGAGGGAAATAAAAACTCAATCCACCAGATGAAAACTGACTTACCAATAAGATCACTTCTATCCAAGAGTAACTCCAGATCTTTATCACTGATTACTTTTTCCTTAGATCCTTTAACCTCCCTGTAGAGGAAGAAATAATCTCTCTTAATAAGATAAAAAAGCATTTTACAGTTAGTATTGCATAGAAGTCAGTTTTCCCACTCTACAGAATCCCTAGGACATTCTTTCCACTATGAAGATCCACATATCACTTCAGAAGAGAAGAGAACTTCTAACAGCTGCTGGCAAGCTGCAAGTTACAAACTCATGATCCAATAAAAATATGAAATCTGCATACCTCTCATAGTCTCTGGATTTCAGTAATTCTAATAATTCCTGAGGGTCCAGGCAGCTCTTTGACTGTGCTAAACCAGATTTGCCACCTTTAAACTGATCTGTAGAAAGAAGAAATTTTAAGGTCAGTACACACAGACAGGAACAAATTCTGTAAAATGTTACATCAATGCTGGAATCATGTATTGAACAAATTAGTAATGCTAAGTTTCATTGTTTTAGCCCTCAGGTAAACACATAATGTGTTAATAACCTAACTGGTGAGAAAAAGTCAAAGGTACATGAAGAGTTTTTACATGCAGGCCTTTCAGCTTCTAGCCGCAGTATGCAGAACAACTGATTGAAACACCAATTTGACATGCACACACACACACACACACAGAGCAGAACAGCCATTAGTTCTACTTACAGTAAAAATATTGTAAATAAAGTTAGATGGCGGATACTGAAGTTTGTTCCCTTTCTACTGTAAGCTGGTTGAAACAAAGTAAGCGGTATTAACCACAAGACAGGAAACACGTGAAGGATACATGGTTTGCAGACAGAACATACCTCAGTTTGATGGACTAGATAGGCATGACAAAGTAATACACCTGACAGGTTGATTTCTTGAAGAGATTATGCTAACTCCTGTCTACACACAAATCTGGACGTCTGCCCAAATATATTAAAAAATTGTACACAATTATTACTTAAGCAAAGCTGAGCATGGATGAAGTCAAGCTCAGTCTTGCACATTTTGAGGAGACAGGCAAGGCTTACTGTTTTGTGCCAAGTTTCCTCGTTTTTTATCAACACATTTACTCATTTTCTTACTGAGGCTTTACTGACCCCTTTCACTATATTCCCTGTTGTTCTTTCCTATATCTTGGTTTCAGAAGTCCTTCTCACACCTTTTCCCCATCTCCCTCCAAGGACTGGCTGTTTCTCTGTGAAGTGCAAATCAGATGCAAGTTCTAGAGGACTTTGAGCTATGGGGTTCTCCCTATTACCCCTTAATGTCTCCTGCTGAGACACAGGATCAGCCCTGTCATGCATTATTAGTGATGTAGTTTCTCCCTTTTAGTTTTCAGAGTTTCACAAACTACCTGGCACTGAATTAGTGCTGTACAGATTTTGGGTTGCCATAATAGCAACATACAGAAAAATATAGAGAACCCTATCAAGTGCTTGACACTTTAAATAGAAGATTATTATTACTTCCTCTTAGTCTGAATTTTACTAATTTAACTAAAAGCATGCTGGTTCTCATATAGTTTGCTAGGCAACTTTTGCCAGTAAAACAGAAGCACAACACAGAAAGAGTAACCTGGTACTGAGGACAAAAAAGCATTCTGTTTTGCAATACATTCCAGTTCTTAAGCTCTAGTACTAGTACTGTACACTCTACTTGGTTAGACACTATGGAAAGGCCTGAGTTAAGTAAGCTTTGTGATATTTCTTCCTCATTCATTCCTCCAAAATTACAACACTTTCTAAATATTCAAAATAACAGGATCCATTACAGCACCTTTATATGTACACAGTGGATCCAAAGGTTCCTGGAGGGGACACCCCTAACTAAGTTGCAAGATCCACCAACAGTTATGAACATTAATATTTAACTTACGGCAAAACTGAAGGCATGACCCAACTTGATGCTTAGCTTACACCAGTTCCCACTGCTTCTATAGAATGCCAGTTATCTGCTATTAGAGCCCATTCTCTTTCATGCGCTCATCTTGCCACTTTCATTTTAACTTCAGATTGGACCATAATCATACCATTAAAAAGCCACTTTTTTCTTACTTAAAATGGTCATTAACATGCCTACGGATGAGTCAGATGGCAGTCCTGGCTGTCACGTGAAGAGACCAGTGGCAAACAAAACAAAGAAAAAGGCTAGGATAAAGGAAGCATCTAACAAAGACTGACTGACATCATCCAAAACCAGAGGCAAACCACAGCTTCAGCTTGACATGCAGTGCACTGTGCAGCAGACAGTTACAGGTGTGGCCTTCTGCCCCTTTATATCCACACGAAAGTTTGCTTCTTGCCTCCCCCAGTATACTATGGGAAAGTTCTTTACCCACTTTTCAAGTTTAATATAAGGCTAATTATTGCCCATACCAAGTTACAAGAATTGTGTTTTTCAAGTAAGCTTAGTGTTTGAAAAAAATGCTATATGTAGCTACTGTCCAAATATCACAAACAGAATAAACTATGGAATCAAAGCATGATCCCTATGGGACACAAACAAGAAAAATTTACCCCCAAAAGAGCTACTTCAACGCAATTGCTTCTAAAAACTTCTGAGTATGACCAGCTATGTAATTAAGAACTACAACAAGAAGCACCATTGTTCTACACCTAAAATCAAGGACTATTGTTCTATTCAGCACTATTAATTGTTCAAACAGAACTATTCTATGGGGGTTATAATATACTGTTCTTAAAATTCAAAAGGACAGATGCAAACAGGATGGTGATTTTTTTTTCCTACAGCTCTAGGATTTGCAGTCTCAACCAAGTTTAGTAGGTACCTCTGGGTAAACAACTTTCTGTTCTATATTCTTTATTAATTTTAACAATTTTAATAGGAGCACTCCCTACTCAAGCAAGTTTGCCAGTGCAGCTGGAAAAGTCTATTGCTAAACTTCACATCATGAAACACTGCTCTAGATGTCATTAAGAGGGCATATTGCTCCTCCTAATGAAGAACTGTTACAAATTAAACTGCATGCATTAAGAATTTTTTAAGTGGTTTTTCGATTTATATTCTGGTTCATTTAAGTAAGATTTTTTTAAATATTATCAACTCAAGACTTATCATCTACCACCAGCATTTTCAATGGTAAAAAAGTCCAAAAGCATTTCAGTCAAACTACCTGACAAGCTGCCACAAAAGCCCAGAGCTCTACTCATTTATTGCCTGGCTTTACCTGCGTATCTTCCAGGTAGGCTCATCACCCCTCTTTTCTGTATGTACTAGCAAAGGAGTAGTCATGACATGGTATTTCGGAGATAACAGAAGTGCTTTCCTTTAATTTGCTGCAGAAGTTATTTACGATGTGTCTTAAGACTGCATTTTGAAAAGTAATACTATCTAGCCATCTGCTGGGAGAATGAAGCTTTTTGCATTTGAGAAAAAATACTAAGCAGTCACAAAACCGAGCAGCAGGAGTTGTCTCAAGATTCAAAGAAGCAACACATGTTTACTGGAAGTAGTAAGAGAAAGAAACTAACTTTTGTGGATAATCAGCTTTTCTAGCTTCCTTTTGGCAGCAGCTCTCTCCACAATCTTCTGGTCAATGGTATTTGCTGTCACAAGACGATAAACAACCACTGGCTTTGTCTGGCCAATTCTGTGACATCTGTCTTGGGCCTGCAGGTCCGACTGGGGGTTCTAAGCAGATGAAGAAACAAGCTAGTTATACCATTAACCTTTTCTTAAGAGACATACCACAGGCAGCACTTTCAGTAGTGAGCCCTAAGAGTCAGAGCAGAAGCAGTAAGCAGGGCATCCATGGCATAATAGAACCTTGTATCTTACGCTTGTCCTACTCTTACACTTGTCCAAACTCTGCTGCTGTAGCTACGCAGCCAGAGTAACCCAACTAATTTGGGCAGCTTCTGCATTATATGCTGCAGTTTTCAACAAATGGGCATGGGTATCACAGATTTAGCTGAGGGTGTCATAGTTTTAGGTTTGTGAGGATTTTTTGTTGGAGGATTTAAAAAAAAAATATTATAAAAATACAGCGATTTGTGAAGCTGCTTTAACTCTCCTGAAGCTGAATAGTCAATGAAAACAGCAGAGATTCCTATTAAAGTAAGTGAAGATGGAGAGGTCCTCAGTCATATGCTTCCATACTGCTCTTCTACCCTGCCTCCAGACTCACAGGAGCAGTATAATCCTAGCTAGGTAAAACACATATCAAGTCACAGGAGAAAATTCAAGAGGCTGATACTAACATGGCAGCTGCTAGAAACAGGGAACCTGTAGAAGGTCCAGCTACATTCACACTTTAGTAAATCTGAAGAAGGAAACATCTTCACCAGTAGTAAGAAAACCCTCCCTGCTTTTTCTATAACTCGGGGGCAAACAGGTTAGCTGTGGAAACCAGCTCTAACATTTCATAAACTAGAACTTTTCAAACAAGGCTGCATATTACATAACATGTCTGCATATGTTACTTTGTAACACCTCATTAAAGTTCTAGAAATGGTCTATAGCATAATGGGTTAGTAAATAATTATCAAAAGCAGCAACAGAAAGCATTTGATGACACTTCTCACTAAGTTAACAGTCTGTCAACATACCCAGTCACTATCATATATGATCACGGTGTCTGCCGCAGTTAAATTAATGCCCAAGCCTCCAGCTCTTGTACTCACTAAGAACAGGAAGACTTCAGGATCAGTATTAAATTGACGCATCTGGAAGAGAATTCATTAAAAAAACAGCAGATAAATCAAACACAAGATGCTCCATTTTGAGACATGTATGTTTAAAACTATTAACACAGATAAAATACAGCACATGCTGTCAAGAGGCCAAAGCAAGGCTTTAAGAAACACTGCATGCATTTGGAACAGGACAACACCAAGAAGTGAAACAATTGTATTTTCTTGTCTGATGAGCACAGTCCAAGTTGCCAGAGCCTAAAGACATATCCACTTACTAAAATACCGATGCCAACTTGACTATACCTTCCAGCCACCCTGTATACCCCCTCCTCTTATTTCAAAGCTAAGAGTAACTTTCTGGCCTCCTACTCAACATTAAGCCTACTTTCACTGCAAGATGTTTCCAAGTGTCAGCACAGCTCCTGCCAGGTTTACAGTACCAGTCAAAACCTAGTCTACTTAACTTTGACCAGTCACATACTGGTAGAAAAGTACAAGTGTACCGTAACTTTCAGGACCTTGATCACAGCACAGAAAAATAAACTATCACCCCATTGCCAGGTGGAAGCAGCTACCCAAGCTCTCTAAATGAAAGGGTGTCCAGGAGAGTCCATATTCTCTGGACTTTCCTGGACATCAACATCTGTATCAACAGCAGCAAATCAAAGAGCCTTGCTGAAATTCAGACTGGTGACCCAAAGATTTCTCTCATCCTGCACACACATCACATGGTGGTTTACACAGAACTGACTAATCCCCCCCACTGCCACAAGCCAGTTCAGAATTTTACCAGCTTAATAAAAGTTACTATAGCTCATAAATATGTTGCTAATTAGCCTTTCCTCATTAAGAATCAGCTCTAACAGTAGTAACTTAAGTGTTCAGGGTTTGGTTTTCCTCAGCACAGAAGAAAGAATTGCACAAAAGGAAGCACAGTTTGAGCTAGAATATCTGTCATCTGCCACTGTTCTTCTGTATCTTCAAAAGCACTAGTGCATACTTTGTAGACCAGACAGCAATTGTAGCACACCTCCATGATATATCCTGCATATTTCCTCCATATTCCTCTTTTACATCCCTGCAAACCCTCAGAGAGGTGGTTTTCCAGAACAACACTGCATGGCTGCTCTTCATGATAAATATATGCATCAGTCGTAAGGTATTCTGTAGTTATTTGAAAATATATTACAAGCAACCAAGTGCAGAGGATTGTGCTGGAACGAATACATGTGCAATTTCAGGCTGAAGTTACTGGTCTCCTACTAGGTACAAAAAGTTGATGTTCTGGAAATGTACTTTATTTGGCACTAGACTTGCAGTACACTCCCCATAGATGTTGGTATCATACCCTGGATGCTAGGAAATGATACATGAAGGGGTAAAATTATGATTAGCATCTTCCACAATCTAGATATATTACATACACACCTCATGCACACAATACATATCGTATTTGTACAACAGAGCAAGTGAACACTCCTCATTCTAAGCATACCCCAAGATATTTGTAGTAACACATTTCATTGCTTCAGTATTCAGGAGCTACGGATATTAAAGCAGCAGCAAGGATGTCAGTTTTCAACACAGATCTTTTGCCTATTTAAGGTTAAATGCTGCATGAAATAATATTCCAGTGTCACAGGATCAAGCTATTTGCAATTTATTAATAGGCTCAAAGGGTATATACATCTACTTACGTTTTCTTCTCTCTCTGAGTAGGACATAGAGCCATCCAATCGACTAAATTTGAAGTCCCTTAAATAGCAATAATCCATCAAGATGTCAAGCATGAGAGTCATTTGTGAGAACATTAAGACCTACAAAAGCAAGAAGATTCCTTAATACCATTTTTTTGGTCACAAGAAGATAGCTATGCTCCCCCGTAAAATCATAAGCTTTACCTTATGTCCTCTTTTTTTCAGTTCTGGAAGCATTCTGTCCAAGAGTAGAAATTTGCCTGAATTCTTTACTAGATCTTCATCAATCTTGGAAAAGGGAAGAGAGGATCATGTATTAGGAGGGAACGATATCACAGGTTTCACCAACTCAGAAGCACTAACAAAAGCTGTCTGAAAGCTCACAGAAACAAGCTTGTACCATCTTTTTAACTAAAAGCAACACTAACTTTAGCAAACTACACTGAATCAAATAAATCATGCCAAAACTAAAACCAACCCCAACATTTCATACACCCAAATAATTATTAAAAAAAAATATATCATTTTTATCCCAATTCTGGAAGGCAAAACCCTGACGACACTTATTTTTTCCAAAAGAAAAGTGCCACTGTTTCTTTCACAGCTTATAATTAATGCACAAGACTTCCACCTACTGGCTGTAAGGAAGCACTGCTGAAGAAGTTACTGCACACGTATCCAAGTGACAAAGTCCGCAGAACAAGCTTCCACACTGCTACCTTAGACTCCTAATTCTTGGTATGTTCTAAGAGCAATGATGTAGTAAACTTCTCAGGCCTGAGCCATATAACAATCACCTCAGTATTTCCCAATCCATTTTCCTGAGCAGGTACTAGCTCCTGCAAGTGGTGTCAACTGTCAGCCTGCATTTTCTACAATAATTTCCTCTCATCCCCCAGACTAGGCAGTCTCCTTTTCATGCACCGACTCTACATTGATAAGCTTCAGCAACTTGCTCCTGAGCACAGCTGCATCTATTATCACTCACTGAACAGGAAACACCATTAAACATGACCACAAACCTACACTCAGAATGTGCAAGTAACTTACAGTTGCTCAAGATTCTTTCAATTCAGATTACTTCATAGTTTCCTATATTATCAATTGCTTTGTGTAGATTAAGCTACCAGCTGGCCCTCATGATATAATTTGGATTTTTTTTCCCCTTTTGAGGAGAAGGAATGCTGTATTCTCTGAGCAGACAACTCTGTTGTACTTGGTTCAGCCCTTCAACACCTCACACTTTAAAGTTACTGCTACACCTCCTGCAGCGTGTACATTATGAACAGTCCACCAAGGTCAGCATTTTTGTTTTCAAAAGAAACCTTAGTGAGGAGAGCTTGAGGCAAATCCTAAAACACCTCAGGTCAAAGGAAACCCAGCTACTGTCTGAATTCAGTAACTCTCTTCCCAGCAGATGAGTGCTGCCATAATGTAGAACATTAAGCATCACTATGCGAAGGCTGAACACGCAGAGACTGAAATAGTCTCTGAAACTGCTACTGCAGGAAATTTCAAATAATGGATTCAGGACACTGCTGGAATTCATTGGGGAAGCATTTGCCAAATACACTGAAAAGGTCATTCTTTACTGCTGTCACCTCAGTCTATTGCTTTCTAATGTTGGAATATTTTTTCTTGTAATCCTTTTAAAATATGTACCTTGAATTGTTGTGTAGCAGGGTCCAAAGGATATTCAATAAGGTAGGGGTGATTACAACATTTCCTCAGTAACATCATAATATTCTGCAGTTTCAGGTTCACCTCAGAATCCATGGGAACGCTCACTGCTACCACTGGCCTTGAAAAAATATGTCACCTTATTAGTATGGAAACTGTCACTTTATTATGCTACAGATACTGAACAGCAGAAAACAATAAAACCACAAGAAAGTACTGGATTCACATGCTGGTCAAATGTCCTCAAAATTCCTCATATTTAGTATAGCTATTATCAGATAAAACTTCTAGTGTCACACTTCGGATGGGTTTGCCATTACTGGTTTAAAATACAAAAGGGCAATCAGCAATAATCAGAAACAAAAATACCCCCACTTGTGCAAGTCACCCAGCAGAAAAGGGAACAGAAGCAAGCCCTCTGTAAAACAAATGGTGACATCTCCTGTGGAATAATACATAAGCTATTTCAAATCAGCTCTCTGCCTATCCCATTTTGGCCACACCTACAAAGTGCAGGATTTGCAACAAATACAGCTATTTAGCTCTTCCACATCTAAGTTCTGTTTCCAACATAAGGGTCCATGAGTACCATAAAACTAATATAAACATGTATTTAAGTGCCTGTTCTTGTAAAGAACAGGATTACAATAAAAATCTAGTAAAATACATTTCAACCCTGAAGATTAACCTGCTTTTCCTTACATCCAAGGGACTTCCAGCCAATTCAGAGCCAACAACAGACCTTATCAAACTCAGGAATGAACATGATTCCTCAGCTTCCTCAGTCCTGAACCTCAACTCTGATCTTAAGCACCAGAAAGTGACCAATGCTTGTCACGAAAACAGCAATAACTGTGCTGACCATCTGGGTTCTAGGCCTCAGTTTAAGCCTACATATTTTAGAAAATTTAACAAGGAAGTAAGACTCCTCTCTTTTCTCCAGTCTTAAACCCAAATTTTAAGTATTCTTGAGTAATTCTGCAAAAAACTAGGAGTTAACTGTAGTTAGCACACAAGCATTATCCCTTGTCCACTGTCTTGGAGCCACTGAAAGATACAGCTGTAAATATAGCTGGACATCAGAGACAACAAAACATAGCAATAAATCAAGCTCTTCAGCTCTTTGTCCTCATTGCCAGCCATAGCCAAGACCTAAGCTATTACAATGAAATTTCAACAACCAAATAACTAAGATGAAGCAGTTCTTTCCTGGCTGGCACCTAACACTACCTTAGACCCCGAGGCTTTGGTGAAAACACAGTTCTTCACTATTAAAAAGTTTTAACAGCCCCCCAAAATTACACTTCACACTAGGACATTTTAGCTCTCTATGGCTATCAACAGCACTATTGTCACAGGGCCTACAAAAAACTGACTAATGAAAACAGGGACTCAAGAAGCAAATTTATTGTGACTCTGCAAAGGCCACACATCTAGTAGTAAATGTCTTATTCAACATTAACTCTAATGAGTGATGTTACAAGCTAATCATTGCTATCATGGCCCAGCAAAAGCATATTAGCTAAAAGCAAAGAAATAAGTCATAAAGCTACAAAGATAGTGACTGACAAAATTCTGTTCTTCTTGATCAATTTGAATAAGCAAAGCTCAGAAACCAAATTAAGAGTGAGATAAGCAGTATAATGGTAAATAAAAGAATCTTTTAAGAGTAGGCACCTCTCTTTTTCTACTTCCTCTTGCATTTTGCTGATCCATTTTTCCAAGTCGTCAGATGAACCATTATGGTCTTCACAGTAATCAACCACTTTTCGACTACGGCGTTTTGGTCGACCTGTAGGACCCAACTCAGTTACTTCTTCCTGTAGGAAATGATAACATTGCCATCAACAACACACAGCTTCAGATTCAAAGGGCTATGTTGACCCTGTAATTCTCAATACGAAAAAGAGGTCTCACTGATATGCATCATGCAATAAGTACTTAGACTCAGCAGCTGCAAGCTTTGCTATAGAGAAAATGCAATCCAAATTTTAAAGGTCTATAATTGTAGATTTTGAAAGCTTCTGCTTTAGTTTTTAAAAGCTGCATTAATAGCTTGTTGATTTTACAGCAGAGATTGTCAACTCTATTAAACCTGCTTTCTTTACCCCAAGGCTACAAGTAATCAAGAAAACATTTATGCTTATATTGTGTTAGTTCTGTGCACACTGAGGTCAGTCACAGTAATTACCACTGAAATAGATAACAAACGGATCAGACTACATATTTAAGCAGAATGTTGGTTTCATTACAATGGTAATGAAGCAACACTAATGTGGTTTTGCCTACAAACCATTAATAGCATATTTCTAATATCCACATTAGTAAATACCTCATTATTTCCAAATAGCTTCCTAATGGTGCGATTTACAATGGCAGTATAGAAAGTTTCTTGCTTCTTTGACAGTGGTGCATATACCACAACTTCTCGTTTAGGAGGAACCTCAAGAGCAACATCAGTTTTCAGTCTTCTCAGTAAGAAAGGTGTCAAAATCTGAAACATTGAACAGATGACTTACTATTATTCAAAGCTCTCAACATTGTTAGTTTAAAACAAAACAATACACAAACAGGCCTACTGATATAATGCTGTTTTGACAATTTAATACAAGGGACTTAATTTGCAGAGTTCATGTTTCATTTCTTAATATGGATACCTTCTCCAAAACTTTTATGTGCATGTCAGTAATACATGCATTCAAACACCACATCTACTGACATTTTTTAAATTCTGAAGTGTTTCACAGGGGTGCAGTAGTAACTGTATTACAGACCTTTCAATAATTTTCATTAACTGAAAGTAATTTTATTATTATGAACAGCTTATTTCACTTGTCATATTTCTTAAATCAAGTTACTCCAGTAAAGTCCCAAACCTTTAACCAAGTAATTCATTGTAATTGACAACTGTATGTGGAAGATACAATTTATAATTTGCCATCAGCTTGTGATGGAAAAATTAGAGTTATATAAGCATTTCAGTTTTGAGTGTAAGTTTTTGAAGACAGGGACATAATATAGTTTGTCAAAAGGTATCCTGTTCAACCTGTAAAAGTTACATAAACTCCTTCAAAATTACCTTTCAACAAAAGCGATACACCAATTAAATCTTCTTTCGAACAGAAGCAAGTAACCACGATTGACTAAACTCAATTCAGTTGCAAGAATAAAAATGAGTCATTGTCAAAGAGGTATATTGTTGCTTTCAGCATTTATGTGCTGTAACGACTAAAAGAAAAACCCACAAGTCTAAGTCTGGAAGTGTCACAATAAAAGCCTCAGGCCTATATAATTGAGCTCCACAAACAAGATTTTGACACACTTCACAATAATGGTCAATGTTAGAAATAAACAATAAAAAAACAACACAAAGTGAAAACCTGATGCAGCATATGCAAGATGTTTTGCTCCCTTTCTTTAGCAATAATATCTTCAGCAGTTTCTGTAATGCTGGTAATATCAAACCAGGATTCAAAGCTATAAAAACAAAGAAAGAAAAAAATAGCTTTCTTCACATGTATTATTCTTCATTATTTAAGTAATCTATTCTTGTCTTACCCTGTAATTCAAGAAAAACAAAGCACTAACATCCATCATGAATAAAGCGTGAACAGGAAGCATCACTGAAACATACCTGCCAATTCAGATGCTTGATGTTTTAAATGATTGGTAAAAATACTTTTATTGCTTGGAATATTCACTACAATTTATTCAATCTAGTCTATATCTTTTTCCAAAATTAGCCTAAAGAATGTTTTGGCAACATTCTTTCACCTGACCCCAGACTGCTTCAGAAAAGGATCAATCTCTCATGGGTCCCACATCTGCCAGCATCACACAGCTTCCTCTAGCACCTTGAGAGTATCCTCAAGCAGCACAAGGCCCTTTGATTAGGCAAACATCTCCCCATTAAATGCTCAAGTCTTATCTCAAAGTTGAGCTTCCACTACTGACAGAGCTGACAATCACTTCCTTTCTGAAACAGCAAAGTGTGAAGGCAAGACACATTTCAAAGCCTTTGCCACCAAATAATCATACCAAATTACAACCATACCATAAAATAGCTCTTTATATGTTGGTATAAGTTTAATAATTAAAAGATTCACAGTAATGCCCAAACAGAACAAACGGGAATAGTTTTCACCATCAGATTGCAACCTACCTTTTCAAATCATCAAACACATCTGGCAACAGGAAGTTAAGCAATGACCAAAGCTCTGCCAAGTTGTTTTGCAGGGGAGTACCAGTCAACAAGAGTTTATTGTCTGCATTGAATTGTTTCAATTCTCTAATAAGACGGCAGTTCATGTTTTTAATCCTGTGACCTTCATCTACTATAAGGTATTTCCAGAAGAAGTGCTACAAAAAGAAAGGATATTTCAATAACTCTTAGCTTTACTCCATCAAAACACATGCCAGGTGAGATAAAGTAGGACTAATAAGATCGATACTGCCTGTTAAAGATTCTATTTACTTTTGGTTCTCACTTTGCCAGACTGGAAGAGCTGAGTCTAAACAGTTAATGCCATAAACCTGCTTCATGGCGGTTACATCTAGAAAGCTTAGGTGATTACAATAAAACTTCTGTAAGAAACTCATCTTGCTGAACCAGCCATTCTCATGTTAACCATGATATTTATACACTAAGCTTAGCTTTCACTCTAAGCCTCACTCACCATCACCTACAGAGAGGCAGCAAGAAAAGCAGGTATGCTGTAACTATCTGCTTAGGATGCTCAGGGGACTGGAGCACCTCCTGTATGAAGACAGGCTGAGAAAGTTGGGGCTGTTCAGCCTGGAGAAGAGAAGGCTGTGTGGAAACCTCACACCAGTCTTCCAGTATCTGAAGGGGACCTGCAGGGATGCTGGGGAGGGACTCTTTCCATCAGGGACCGTAGTGGTAGGACAAGGGCTAACGGGTTCAAAATTAAACAGGGGAAGTTTAGGTCAGATATAAGGAAGAAGTTCTTTACTGTGAGGTTGGTGAGGCACTAGAATGGGTTGCCTATGGAGGTTGTGAACGCTCCATCCCTGGCAGTGTTTAAGGCCAAATTGGACAGAGCCTTGGGTAACATGGTTTAGTGTGAGGTGTTCCTGCCCATGGCAGGAGGTTTGGAACTAGATGCTCTTAAGGTCCTTTTCGACCCTAACTATTCTATGATTCTATGAACTTCTTAAACATGAAATTCCAGAGCCACTACTACCAATGAAACAGAAAAGAATGATAATACAAATGCCACAGTATGACATTAATTGTATGGGCAGCATACAGGGGTTTTTTACTGTATTCAAAAGCACTGCTATTAGTGGTGAGGCATTCCACCCTCCTGAGGGATTTCAGGAGAACTTAGGTACCTGCAGGGCATTTCTATCTCGCATGGCTATTTCAAATGAAGTAATGACCACAGGATGGATCTGCAGTGATCCTTGTCGCCCATGAATTTTGCGAACCAGTTTACGACGTTCCTGCTGAGCTCCATGATAGAGCATAAGGGGAATCTGAAAAAAAGAGGTTGAGAAGTCAGGTGAACTAAGCTCATTTAAACCTAAAGAGAAGATAGTAGAGATAATGATCTGTTACAAGAAGGCTGTAAATGCATAGCACATCATGGCACAGTGTGTAGCAACCAACAACTGAAATTAAACTTATGTCCTATACAGAGAAAGCTTTAAAGAATAAGAATAATTTGTTCTTTTAAAACCTAAGAAAAAGAAAAATCTTTTACCTCTGGAGTAAATCGCTTGAATTCAGACATCCAATTTGGAAGAGTAGACAAAGGACCACATACTAAGAATGGACCAGGTACTCCTCGCTCCACCATCAGTGCTATTGTCGCAATACACTGGATCGTCTTCCCCAACCCCATTTCATCAGCTAAAATGCCATTGATACCATTTTCCCAAAGCATCTGCATATATAGAAAAAGAATTGTAAATACAAAATAACCAACACACCTTAGGAACAACAGACATTTTTAGGAATGTAGGACATGTGGAAACTCTCTACTAAGCACATTTTACATTACAGATGAAGATGATTTTCTCCATGGTGAAAATAAATACAAGCATCTTGTTAACCTGAGCCATTTATAAGTAGGTGCATGTTCCTAGCCAATTAAGTGCCTGACTACGGCACAAAAAAAGCCCAGAACAGTATCAAAAAATATAAATTAGTGTTATATCAAAAAGCACTTCAAGTACAGCTCATACGATTTTTTATTCATCACAGCTCCAAAGAATTCCCTTAGCTCCCCACTCTAACTCTAAAAAAGCAAGTTATTATGCTGATGCTTCAGTTTTATCTAGACAAGTAGCTTCTGCAGGCATGGCTACTTCATCATAGGAAGAAGGTACAACTCCTGACCAATATAGCTGCCTGCTCCAGCCAAAGTTCTTTGTGCAGATTCTGCCTATTCTAACAAGCAACAGAGCAAACTCTCACAAAAGAAGAGAAACGAAGACATAGGATTGCTCTTTGGCTACTCTAACTAGTAATCATAAAGATTCATGAAAAAGATTACGATAACTGAGGGCCCCACTAAGAAAGCTGATTTTCCCCTCAGAAGTGGCCTGTCCTCCCTAGGTACTTCCCAAAGACAGAAGTCAGTGAGCAAGTTTAATGGCACTCACTTCAGCCTAAGCCAGTTAAAACAGGATAAATACACTTGTGGGGAAGAAAAATTAGAAAAAAAAGCATAAGGAAAATATAAGATCAGTAGCAGAATGAATATCAATTCTGTATGGTTCCAATAATAAAAAAAATCAAAGCTGTTCTAATCTGGCTTGCAAGCAAAACCAGGCACAAGTTAAATATGTATCTGGGCATTTTTTATGGCAAGTTTCTGTAGGTTTATTTAAAAAACTAAAGACAAAACGTTTTTAAAATACTGTGTTGGTATCACTAGTTAAGATTTCTAGATGCAGAGAACTGAAAACTCATCCATGCCAAGTCTACAAGGCAGTGGGCCTTTAAACACCTATGCGCTAGGGATTCAAGCTTTTAAGAGAGAAAAATAGTAACTGTCCCTTAATAGTATGCATAGTCCTGCTTTCACCAAGTATTTTGTAAAAAGATGCTGCAAAGACAGAGTTGAACAAGAAAATAGATGGGCAAGGGGAAGATGGAGAAGACCAGCCAGAAAGTCTAAAGAAATGTTTACAAATATCCTCCCCATGCTGAAACATTATCTGCTGCTTGACAATTTTTATAACACCAGGTTCTTCTGTCATAAGAAATCATGAAGAACTGTGTCTTCTCCACCCTCCCTGTATCAACTATTACCACAGACTTTTAGTGTATCTTCCCCTCCATTTCTCTGTTTCCAATCAGCAGATCTCAGTATCAACAACAATCACTCCATACCCGTAGCCACTCCATGCCTTCCACTTGGTACCACCTCATTACACCGCCAGTAAAAATCTTTGGCTGCTGAAAAGGCACTGGTTGTCCATTAAATTTCCGTACTGGATCAAGGAATTGCTTGGCACTATTTCGTACAGCTTGACACAATCTGTCCTTAATGACGCTGTTTGAGTCTTCATTTTTCTGCAGGTCTTCTGGACACAGGTTAGCAGAAGTTCCATCCTATAGAATGAAGTTCAAGAAACACATGGCAAGTGTAATACACAACAAATCCCAACCAAAACATACTTTTGCCAAATTTACACCGGTCTTAATATGCAGTGATGTAAGCCAGCCCCTGACACAAAGACTAATTCTCTGTAACTGTCAACTTAAGTGGAATTTATTTTTAAGATTAATATTACTACCTAGGGGGATGCAAAATTTCAATGCATATTTTACTCCTTAAGAATTGAAGAGCAGGGATAGCTACTAAAGATATTTGGCTTATCATTTTCTACTTATAAAAGTGAGCAGACTTAAAACCTTCCCCACAGCGGCTGGCATTTAATGAAGCCATTCCCCTTCTGTAAGCTGATTCTAGAAAATGGTGGGAAGAAATTCATACTGTGCATGTAGCTTTTAAACTATAGAAGGAAAAGAGACCACACCTGTTATCAGCATGTTTGAATGCTTAAGAATGATGTCTTAAGGTCTTATACACCAGCAAAAATATTTCTTAGTAAATTTATATGTCCTTCAGTTTTTAAAATACAGGTGCTCTAGTGTTAAAAAAATAAATCAAAAGTTTGGATTTCTGTAAGTATTTAAGAGCATTCACTTTTATCACTTTTTTAAACCTGTAATTTAGGAAAAGTTTAAAGATATACTATAAAGTATAAAAAGCCCTCCCTCTCTTTGGGCTTAAGACAGTTAAACTGCAATAACATAAGCCAACATACCTGATTTTCCACTTTAGTTTTTTTTGCCACAGACAGTATTTCCTGGAAGCAAAGAAAAAAAAAAATTAAAATCTTACATGCTTTTCAACCTTAAAGGCTACTACAATTTGTATTTCATGAGATCTTTTAATTGAAGAATTTGGACATACTTTAGGAATCTTCCTATACAACATCATTAATCATACACGTGATTCTAAGCAAGGCCACACACACCAGAGAATACACTGCAGTTACAAAGGGTAACTGAAAATTCAAATGGTGATATCCCTTCACAGGTTGTCTCCCCAAAGTCTTAAAAAAAATTTGCCTCATCAGTTAAAGTTTGTGCTACGAAAGTCCAGACAAACCTATTTAGTTATAGCCTACCTCTTTGGACATAATTTCTGAGATGTTGTATGTCCCTTCTTCTCTTCCTCTCTTCTTCTTTGCACCTAAAATATCACATTTGAGTTTATACAACACATCAAACATTAAGGAAACTAAAAACACCTGTAACTGACAAGACTCAATATGTAATAACAGTACCTGGTTTCTCCTCTTTGCCATCAACTGCACTTTGACCCTAGAAAATAAACAGAGGAAGAGGTTCATCTTCTTTTCCATCTCTGTCATGACACAAATAAAAGACACTATCAGCCTCAAACCACTGCCTTCGAAAGATTCTTGAAGCACTTTTACCATTAAGCAGTTGTTCCTGCTTTTTCACTACTTATTCAGCATCTTGGTTAATTAAACAATCATTCCTAAATTAAAAAAAAAAATAAAAAAAATCTCAACACAGATTGAAACCATTTTCTTTAGTATAAATTAATTAGAAGCATCTCCTTAAGATAACTGTCATGTTATGCAATTTTTAAGCACTTATAAACAGTTTTATTATGGTTAAAATAGATATGGCATACTAGATAGATCCTGCATTTCAAATACCAGCTAATCTAATTTATTTAGTTTAGCTACCTTGATCAAAATTGTCATAATTTGTTAGACTTTTATTCAGGAAGTTGCATAAATAGCTGGTTAATCTTACCTTGGCAGATTTTAACATCATCTCCCTCTTTCTTTCTAACTTCTCTTTCTTCCGCTGTTCCTAAAAAAAAAAAAGCAAAAACAAAAACCAAACACCCACACATTTTTTTATCCTTCAATAACACTACCCATTATAGAAATGATAACAGGCAGAGATTACATTGGTAATGCAGGGTTCCTCACTCTATGGACTTTGTTTTTACACTGTTTTTACACTCTCACTAAAAGCTTCTATTCTGACATAGTTTAAAATGGTAAAGCAAAACTTAGACAAGAAAGGGCACCTGCCCAGAATTACTTGTCAGTGAATACTTTGAACACTTAAATACAGTATTTTAGAAAGAATACAACAAAAATTTTCAAACTCTTCAAGATCACATCTACTGCAGTAAGCTTTCCATGTATTCAGCTCTCCTTAACATACTACCACCTGTCTTCATTGAAGAACAGAAAGCATTTTTTAAGTAGTCTATAATGCCTTTAAGGAAGAAGTGCTTTCATGCCTTGAACAATTTAAGATTTTCATCCCATCTACTACTTCTACTTGCTGAATGCAAAAGGACCCTGGGAAAAAGAGATAACAGACTTCGGTATTTATCAGATGGAGCAAGACTTAGTACTGAAACCTGCATTCTATCAAAGCAGTAACCATGAATTCGAGCTAACAGTTAAACTACAGAAAGGAGATTCCTGCAGTCTGCCAAGTCTTTTTCCTAAGTCACTGCCCCCTCTCTCAAGCATAAACTCTTATAAGCTTGTCCACAAAGGTACAGTTAAGAAAGTCAAGATAAAAATGAAGTCAGCAACCCATGAAGTCAGCAGCCCATGGATTAAACAACCAAGCAAACAAAACCCTGACCAACCAACCAATCAAAACAAAATCTACAAACAACAAAACTCCGCATCATTTTATGGAAGCTCTTGTTTAGTAACATCATGGCCTCAGATCACTTTAATTCATAAATTTGTTTGAGGGAGGCCTACATTAGCATCCTGAAGAGACACATCATCTCAGCCTTCAGTAATTAACATAATAGGCTGCACAACTTCTTGTCAATTCTTTGTGTCTTCTATCCTCTAGCTCCCTTAAACTTTGTTTCTTATTTGAAGCTTATTTTTCCTTCCTAGCATTCAGGCCAACAGAATAATTGTAAAGATATCAGTGCCATCTTTACACTGTGATTTTAAATTATAATTCATGCTATTCCCAGTCCAATTTAGCTATTAATCTATAGAACAAATTCTGAATATTATATAAAGCACAACTTCATGGCTGGGCAGTGGATTTTCATGTTGTTACTGTTAACAGCATTTTTACTTCATTTCAAACAGTTGGATGACAAAAAAAAAAAAAAAAAAAACAACAACAAATGACCAAAACACAACCAGATGGCAGCACATCTTAAGTATCCCCACTGCAGACAAGAATACACCTACCTCCAGTTGCTGCTGTTCCATTTTCGTTAGCAGGAATTTGGAATAGATGTTGCTCTTTTCCAGCAAATGTTGAAGCCTCTTATAGCGCATTTCGCTTGACTCCCTGTCCCAAGAAGTGCGAGCCTAACCAACACAAAGAGATGTCAAGTACTTACAAATGTTTCAGAGAGAAGGCTTTTAATACATCGAAGGGTTCGGGATAACTACAATTGTCTCACACGCATACCCTTTTCCCTTCCCTCAGTTATAGGTGTACAAGTCCTGAGTGTATGGACTCGCATGTACCTACAAAGTTCTGTAAAATCAAAGGAACTGAGGGTTGCATTCAGTTGCATACATAAACAGAGCTCTGTAACACACACACACACACACACACACACCAGTGGAGTAGCACAAGGCATTCAAGGGCTCAAAGCTGTCTCAACTCAAATATAACAGATTTAGAGCAAACTGAAACTGAAGTTAATTTGTAACCTGCAAAATTTGAGAAGGGGGAGAAAGAATCCACATGGCAACAATTTCACCAAGTACCAGCTGGGACTCCTCCATGTGCCAACTACTTGCACAAAGGTAGTTGTCCATCATGAACAAGATATTCAGACGACTACAAGACTCATTATGCCTAATTTACACAGGTTAATTCCTAATGTGAAAACAGCAATTTCTGCTTGCTTCGCTTAGAAAATCAACACATGCTTTTAAAACTAACTTCTGTTGAACTAGTCAAGGATGTGCATTTAGTGGATTTCCAATTATTCTTTAAAACTCAGATCAAAACTCCCACCCAAAAGTAAAAAAGTGTTCACCCTTCTGCATTCATCTAACATTGCCCATTAGACTGAGGTATTAAACAACTGAAAAGGTAAAATTAGCATCTCCAAGAGAAAACCCAGGAAGGCAAGATGCAGAGCTTTACAAGATGCTTATCTACGCCACTGCCTTTAGAAGAAACTGGGGGAAGGGCACGCTAAAACAGAAAGGCAAGGGAACCTTCTGAAAGTAGAGTTAACAGACAGGGGGAAAGGGTATTAGCTGAATTAGCTGGTGTGTGACACAAGAATGGGGGGGGCATGTTTATCTCCCAGAGAAATCACACCTTTATTTTCCACAAGTAATACTCCATGTCGTTCTTATCAAGTAGCTACCACTGGATCCTTTTAGGAGAGGAAGAACCTATCTCCACAGGTTTTCTGGAGGAAGAGATTGCCTGCCTGTGATTTTCCATAGTTTCTACTCACTTCTGCCCTACCCAATACAGGTTTTTTCCTTCAGATGAAAAGAACCTGAGCTCAGAAAGATCAACCCTTGGTGGCAGTGCAAGGAGCGAATAATTAAACTACTTCATTCAGCAAATAACTATTGCTCAGTTTTTACTGAACACAGCATCCTTCCATTATTCGATCAATCTGAATGACTTTACCTTGTCCAACTGCGAAAATATCAAGGGGAAAACAGAAACCTCAAAGATGACAAACAGCATGGAATTCTTATTATTTCCATCTTGTCCTCTGACCCAAACCTTAAAGTGTCAAGAAAATGGGTTCCCCCCTCCCTCTTTTTTGGCAAATTTTTGACCTTTTCAGTCACTCTCTTTCATCACTCTACATTCCTATGTATTTGTGTAGTGGAATACTGCCATCAACCCACAGAAAGAACAAGTGACTGCTTTGTTGAACGGCTGTTCAAATCACCTGGCAGGGAGCTTGCTTAAGTGACAAGCATAAGAAACCCAGATGCTTCAAAAACATCAGCTGCCCGTGAGGTGCCAGTATGCCTGGGTTTAACTACAAGAGTAATTTCCTCTGGTCTCACTGCCCCCAGATTGCACAGAGAAAGCGTAACAGAACCACACAGAAAAATATAGCAACACTCTTGCTACAGGTAAGCTCCATGGATTCTGAACAAATTGAGAATACAGAAACCCCCAGCACTATCACATTATAGCACTGTTGCAGAAGCGGTTGATTGTTAAAGAAATGAAATTCTAAGCCCTTTTGTCAACACTTCCTGTGCAATGAGATGATTTGCTCTACAAGAGCTCCTTCCCTTCTCAGCCTATAAAAGCACTGCCTCCAAATTTTTAGTTTCAAGTCCGATCAAGTACCTGCACAGAAGTTCAAACAAGCTCCATAGTGGCTTTTTGTTTGCAAGAAGATTGTAAAATTTCTGCGAAAATGAAGTATTATTTTCCAACTACAGCATCACAAAATGCTGCAGCCTAAAACCACCTTCATAAATCAGTTTTTCCTAGCTAAAAGATAAATTAAAATTAATTCCAGGTTTTAGAAACTGTATTTTTCATCCCCTTACACTAATGCTTCAGTTTTTCAGATAGGGGAAAAAAAAAATCAAACTTATTTCTCAAGTATTTCAAGTAATAGCACTAGTTCTTCAGAATACAATTCCCAAAAGCATTTAAGAGTTTTTTCAAGCCTTATTTTCTTACACCTGAAATACAGCATCTTATGTAATATGCCAATAGCTTGATAATTTGTATCAGCAGAGACTGAGAAGCATCATGTTTTCATCTTCTCTCTCCAAAATTGGTTCATATCAAACAATACTTATTTTCAACATAAGAAAACATTCACAGTGAGAGAGAAACGAAGTGTAGTGATGATTAGGTCACTTGAATTAGCCATGTATCATTTCCTTGATACAGTCTGTATTTCCTGCAACATAACAGGACTAAAACGTTGACTCTTCAGATGCTCAAATATCCATTTCTTCTGGCAACAAGGCCAGTTCAAGCAGCTCCTGCTCTCCTCAACTCAGGGGTGCCTGCACAACTGCATGCAGCGAAGAGCAGACAAGGACAACGACTGGCAATAAATTGATCCTTTCTGGCTAGGCTACTTCCTTGATGCTGCCTAAACTATACCTGCTACCAAAAATACTGCTTATTTCTGGAAAGGATGAATAGTATCTATAGAGGTGCCATAGAATGGTTTGGGTTGGAAAGGCCTTTAAACCTCACCTAGTTCCAACCCTCCTGTCACATTCAGGGCCACCTTTCACTAGACCAGGTTGCTCAAAGCTCCATCCAGCCTTGAACACTGCCAAGGATGGGGCAGCTATAGCTTCTCTAGGCAACTTGTGCCAGCAACTCACCACCCTCTTAGTGAAGAATTTTTCCTAATGACAACTGTAATCTACCTCCAGTCAGTTTGAAGCTAACAGTGTCAGCGTCCTGCAGGCTTGTATCAGGTCATCAGTTAGTTTGGTTGGTTTGGGTTTGTTTTTTTTGGGGGGGGATGGGGAAGGGTATTTTTTTTTGTTTGCTTTGTACAGTAAGGAGCAAAACTAGGAAAAGAAGCGTTATGTACACACACAGGAAACGCAAAGAAAAAAGCTTCCCTTTAATATTTCATGTAGAAATTCATATTTATCTTACTACACTTTCTAAAGGCACATTATAATTTTCTTAAGCTCAGAACAACAAAAATCAACAGGTAATAATTTCCTCACTGCAAACTTAAATGCGTAAAAAATGCAGTAGGCTTCTCACTGGCTGCGAGAGGCCACCGCTAGCCTTTAGAAGGAAAAAAAATCCAAACACTCCAGTGGCTGATCAAAGGCGCTTGTGAATCACAGCCGCCTCCCGGAACTTCACCAGCCTCCCACGTTTATTTGTTTTGAAATCAACGGGGCTGCAGACACCCGGCCCCGGCCCGCAGCCTCCGCCGAGCACGGCGCTCGGACCCACGGGTACGGGGATAGCCGCATGTGCCGTGCTCTCAGGCCGCCCCTCACCTTCTCCAGCATCTGCCGCTCTTTTTCCAACCCCGCCGCCTCCAGCTGCTCCTCCTCCTTCAGCATGGCCGGCGTTATCACCGCTGCCTCCGCCTGCTTCCCCATCTCCACTCCCAGCGGTTCTGCAACGAGCGCACGGTTACTCGGTATGCCCGCCCTCACACACCACAATCCCGCCCGCCCCCCAACCTTGCCCTTACCGCCACTGCTCGCCGTGTTCTGGGCCGGCATGGCAAAGCGCCGGGACCGTTAGAGCTCAAACCGGTGCAGTGCCACCACACACACAGCCCAGACTCCCGCGCACACCACCGCTCGCGAGACCAAGAGAAACGCGCGCTAGACCAAGCCGCGCGGGAGGTGGCGGTGTTCTCGCGAGGCAGCCTGCTCCGCCCCCTCTGTGGCCTGCCTGGAAGCCATCTTGAGTCCTGGCGGACGACGGGCACAGCTGGTTGTCTTTCTGCCCCCCGCGGCGCTGCGGTTATGCCGGGGAGCTCCTCTGCCGGTGTTCTCCTTCGAGCCCGACTGCTGCTGCAGTGTTGAAGCGCTCTTGGGCTTGTCTGTCCTCCCTCCCAGCGAGGGACCTCCACTCTCTGCAGCGAGCCTGGGGAACCTCTGCCGTGGGTGGTGGTCGTTGTTTCAGTTCAGCCGTGTTTGGGGTCCTGTGGTGTACAGCGCGCCCTCAGAGGGCCGCCGTAGGCCGATACTGTCGGCTCCATCATCCTGCTTTCCTCTGCAAACAGGAGCGGCACCGGTACCCGTCACTGGATCTCCACCTGGAGGAGCGTGAACGTGGCAAAGGCTGATTATGTCCGCCGGTGCAAGGACCGAAATACTTTGAACATTTGCTTTGTGCCACGAGAGGGCGGAGGAACGCTTAAAACCCAAGGGACAGCTGTGCTTCCTTCACCAGTGGAAAAACCCTCCTTCCCAAACACAATCTGTATCAAAGTAATTATTTCTAGTTGTTCATAACACAAACACTTTAGCGTCACCTAAATAACACAAGCTGCCGAAATACCTTTGGGCTTATCACCTCAAATCCATAAAAAAAAAAAATAAAAAAAAATGCTGTGCTACTCATTTCTTGGCTTGTGTCAAAATTGATCACTATTTGAAACTTACTCTGTGAACAAGGGGACCAGAGCTCCTCCTGGTTCTAAACAGAAACCTGGAAAGGGAGAAAGGGGAATGAAAGAAGCAGCGGTAGAGCAAACAAGTTTAGTAATAACTGAGGTAGATGGCATTCTTCTCATTCCCAAAGCCTTAAAGGCTGATTCTGGATGTTGTAATGTGTTTTGTGGAAAAGTGATGCTGCTTTGCAAGGCACAGTTTGGAGGCTAACTTGGGATGGTTCTGCATGGATGTAAGGGAATGTTCTTAACCCCTAGTAAGGTTATTTTACTGGCATAGTGCAATTGAATGCAGGCTTTTCCAGCCGCCTGTCTCACTTGAAACTATTCTCAAGACATCATGGTAAATAAATAAAACCTTTTTTTTTTCTGAGGCATCTTTCATTCCATGAGACATAACGTGCTTTCCAAACTAGAGCAGAATAATCACCTAGATGACAACTGGAATGCGTTCAAGCTGGAATATGGTGGTGGCTTAAGTGGCTCCTAACATCAGTTGCAAGCAGGAAGCATGGATGAAGATGTAGCTGGAACTTCAGGAGCACTCAGGAAAATGAAACTGCAAAGCTTTTGGCTGGGATGTAAACGTTAACACCTCTGCTGCTTTCACAAACCACCGTAAAACCTGTTCTGCCCAGAAATTCTAAGTAGCACAATTTATATCTTCTTTCCAAAGAAAATAAGCCTCTACATAAAATACATAACAGAATACAAACGTTCCATTTCACTTTGGTATCCATACACATTATTTTGTAATGTACTTAAAGCCATTTTTAGAATTGTGATTACATAAACCACCTTACCCCAGATTATCACTTAAATCAGACAGTTGTGTTTCAGCCATTTCCTGCTCTGGCCAACACCTTGTCTGAAAGCTGTTCGTGGCAGGAAGGGATTTGATGGTGGGTAGTGCAGTTTTGACTCCCTGTGGGCTGCTCAGCATCATGAATGCCATTCAGTTTTGCAGGGAGAGACTGTGCCATTGTGTAACAGCCCTCACCCTTCTTCCCACCACCCCAGCCACTAGTCCCAAGATACTACTAAGCACCACAACAGGAGAGCGGTTCTGTTAGCCTCTAGGAGAGTATTTCCTTTGTGTGCAGAGTGTTTCTGTGTTCAACTAGTCATAATTTAGGGCTGGAATATTACTTTCCCTGTTTATCGGTAAAAGTCATCAGAAATAAATGACAGAATAGTAATTAAAGCTACGTCTTCGGTGACACTGAAATATCCAATATCCACAAAAACTGATGAAGTGAAAGATTTTGTAGAATGTGACTTTAAAAAAAAAAGTATTCCAGGTAAATGCTACCGGATCAGTCAACTGTGGCTAGAGCCTATTGGACACATACCATGGTCTGGTTTTAACATCCCACAGATAGACAGAAGGGGAGTGTGCAAAAGATTCATGTCCAGTCTTGCTCTTACCTGGTTTAGCACACGTGAGTAAGGTGATGCTGACAAACATCCTCATCCAGATCCAGCGATTACTGTGGAATGAGTAATTGCTGCTTGTCACTGCTCCTCTCCAGCTGCTCTAGAGACTGAGGCTTCTATATTTGATATTAATGTCTGAGGTAACAAGGGGAATAAGGCAATGTTTATGTAAATTGTTCATGGGGTAGATTCTTATGGGTTGAGAATAAGGCTATTTCTATCAGCAAAGGATGTTAAAAAGCCAGAGCTGGTAGCACCATCCGTAAGTGCAGCAGGATCCAGAAAATGATGTGTCTCCATGGTACAAATCTCCACTTGCTGCTTAGCTCAAGCAAAGAGGTTGTAATATATAACTTCTATCTAGAAGCAATTTCTTTTACCTCAGTAGTTGGTGACTTGTTGCTGCAGTGCAGAAAGTCACCAATTCATCACCTTTTGTTTCAGAAGATTAAAGTTCCTCATAACACACCTGGACACTTACACAGTGTAATGCAAGGAGCAGAGAAAGATGAACCTAGTGCACAGAGGGGGCTGGGGGAAATTACAGTGCAAGAGAGCAGATAAGAGTTAGAAAAATGCAGATTGTAAACAAAGACGGTTCTGTTCTCAGGTTGGCCAAGAGGCTGCTGCTAAGTCGCAGTAACCCTGGGTTGTCACCTTTGAGATTTACTTGTCACTCTGGTATGCAATACAAGAATGCATGTTGTTTCAGCATGCTCCTTGCCTGCACAGGTTGACTAACTAATTTACTGCAAACTGTAAAAGTAGTTCCTTGAACTAATTGCCCTGTCTGCTGAATGACTGAAGAGGAAGCTGGGGCTTTGAAATAAGATGGTTTTCTCCAGATATGAAAAGTGAGGCATTCAGGTTCAAGCTATTTTGCCCTTATCTTACTCTTTCACGTTGTGGGTACAAGGCTTTCCTATTCCTGAGCAAATGAAAAGTCTCCAAAACTGTGGCAGATAGCAGTGGCATCCCTGAACTTGCTCACTGTTCTTCGAATTTAAATTTAGTTTTTCCTTTTCCCTTTTTACTTTTTTTTTTTTTTCCCCTTAAGACTCAGTGATTGCTAAAATGCAGCAGTAGCAGCCACAGACTCCCTGGTTGATCTTCCTGGTAGTAACACCCTGTACTTGCTATGGCTTAAAGAAATACCATAGCAGCATCCTCTTCTCCATCCACAACCACAGTCCTTAGGTAGTCAGAAATTTCAGAGACCATCGAGACCAGTGAATTGGCACATTTAACAAAATCTCCTGTAACTTAAACATCCAGCTGGGACACATGCAGGAAAAAAGCACTGAAGCTGTCTGAGGTCTCAGCAGATAACCAGCATGCTATATACACAGTAACGCTAGATGGCTGCACAGTCTCCAAGAAACTGCTGTTGTCTTCCAAGTTCAGTTGTGTGGCTTGTGCACCGGAAATATATAACGTAGGGTGTATTGATCAGTGAAGTAGGAGCACGTTTGTGTGCCACTCCCTCTGTGTTAAATAAGCAATCAAGTTCTCTAAGCTATCAGTCAGAGCTGCAGGGTACTAGGAATGGCATTTGCTGATGGCTGGACTGAAACATCCCACCAAATAATAAAAATATGCTACAGCGATGCAGTCTTCCTCCTGATTTGCTGTGTCTCCACCAGCAGGAGCTGAACCACATATAGAGCATCCCCTGAGAAACCCATTTCCAACCTGGCCTTCGGAGTAACCTGAAATCCCCATAACTGCAAAGGGTGGGGTGTGCAGAGGGAGGCAGAAACCCCTGTGGCCTTCCAGCTTTAATCAGCTGTATTTGTTTGTTTACAAAGACATCTAAATAACACCACCCACCATTCTGTACATCAACATCCCAAGGTTATTTTGGGGTACACAGTTCCCTGTTTTCTAGCTCCTGTTGCAGCATGCAGCTCAGACAAAAGAGAACAGGATCAGAATTGTCAGGGAAAACAATTGATAGCATGATGTCACACTTCAACAGGTAAGCAGTTCTGTTGGGGGCCAGGATCCTGCCTTGAAAAGCTGATGCAAAAGTGACAAAAAAAAAAAAATCACCACATTAATCTGTCAGTTAGTGAGCTGTTTAGCCTGGTGCTTAAATACACAGTTTTTATTCCTCCATTTCTTAAAAGATTGCTTGTGTTTTTCCACTGTGATAAGGTCTGGATGTTACAGCACTTCTGCTTGTAACTGAGAATACAGCATCTGGTAAGAAATGACATTTTTATCCAGCGGATCCCTTGGTCCAAATCTTTCAAGCAAAGTTCTGTCAGCAATGTGTTTCCTGGCTTACATTTGGGTAACTAACAAAATCCTCTCCTAGTTTCTCTGCCCATAACTGTTTGGCTCTTTGCAGTGATTTGTGGCTGTGTATTCACACAGGCACCAGCTTCATGCATGATGAGGAATGGCACTCATCCTGATAATCCTCTGCTTCAAAAATACAGGCTGCCCTCTCTTGATATGAGTACATACTCGGATCAGAGCTTACAGCTTCCTATCAAGGTACCCCACATGGGCAAGATGGCTCCAAACACTGGATGGCATCCAATCCCATTGGACAAAGCTCCTGGTCCCTAAACCACCTCTTTGCTTGTGGCTGCAAGAAATTAAAATGTTACAGGTGAGGCAGAGAGTGCAAGCACAGAAATCCTGGTGTGGTGCAGCTTGCTACCTGCCCAGCACTCTTTCCAATTTCCCAGTGAAGTCTGGGGGCCACAGCATGACTGACTGCAGCCTGTGACCCAGTGGATGCCGAGAGGTCA